CCCTTGGCGGGCGTGCAAGGCAATGCATGCGTGCAGGCGTTGCATGGAGTGCAGTGCAATGCAATGGCAACGCGGCGCCCTGCATGCATGCATGCAACTTCCACCGGCGCTCCGGACTTGGCAGGTGAGGGGGGTCCCCAGTGGGCGGCAGAGAGAGCCGGGAGGGCGAAGGGGAGCCGGGGGGGAGCAGCGTTGCTCCCCGAGCCGAGCCCGGGGGGAAACTTCGGCGTCGTTGCGCCGGGTGTTGGAAGCGGAGGCTGGCAGGGGCCCCTCACCTGCAAAATCTGGTCGCCTCTCATATATTTCGTGCATTGCATTCATCGCCCGCTTTCTCCTCCAAGGAGCTCCCGGGGGCGCGCGTGGTTCTCCCCGTGTTATCCTCGCAACAACAGCCCTGCGAGGTGGGTCAGGTGAGTGGCCCAAGGGAGCACCCAGGGATTGTCCTGGCCAGGTGGGGTGATTTGAACCCTGCTCTCTGCCCGGTCTTCGTCCTCATTTAGCCCCCACATGTGCATGACTGTGCATGACTGAGGTTTTCCCCCCTCGTCTTGGCTATGGTGTGAGTCTGTGCTGTTAATTAATGGGGTTCTGCCTTCAGAGAAGATGAGCCAGCCCTCAAGGAGGTGATTATGTAATTTGCTAGCAATTCATGTCCCTCCCGGCGTGACGCTGCGTGCTGACGTCACGGGGCTGTAATGGTGGTGTGCCTCGAGATTTTTTTCATGAAACAAGTGTGCCTTTGCCCAAAAAAGGTTGGGAAACACTGATCTAGACTACCTATGTGCCGCAGAAGGGAAGATAAGCAGAGGCTACAGAGTTTATGATAGGTGGACAAAACCTCTCCTCCACTTTGCTTTGGAGAACAGCCAGAGCACGATTAACAATATTTGCAAACCCTGCAACACCTTTTATGTCTGTGGACTGGCTTTTGCTGCGTGGGTGGGAAGCTGCAATAGAAGAGTGGGAAGATTCAATAACTAATTCATTAATGTCACTTGAGCCTAAAAGACCCCCCAGGGTTTCTCACAACAACTAAAACACAATTCAGTAGAAATATCAATGTAATACTATTAAAAAAGAGTTTATAGAGCAATCTTAACTCTGTGCCTGGGGAACAGCCACTGCTGTATCCAAAGTCCTGCCAACTAGGGGGAAAAGGTGGAATTTATTTGTTGCACCAGTTTCAGGCTTGGACAGCTGAGGGACATGAATCAGGTCCCTTACCTGAGAATGGGGCAGCATAAAGGATCTAGGAGATCCTTGGCTGGCCCATCTCTGCTTCTGCCAGTGGGAAGACCCCTGGGGAGAGGTCAGTTCTGCAATGCAGCAGAGCCTCCCCACCCCCCAGTAGCTGTCAGAGAGGTACCCGCCTTTCCTTCTCCCCCACCCAGCCATCAACATCCAAGGGTTAGGATGGCTCCCCTAATTACCAGTTTAAGTCTCGTTTATGGATATGATTTTTCCCCCACAGCAAAGAGGCTCAAATTAAGCATTAACTCATCAAAACCTACAACATTCAATACAGTACAAAACACATCAAACAAATTCAAATAGGACAAAATAATCAGTTCAGCAAGCATCAGATAAATTCAGTTACTATAATGAAATTATAAATAGTATAACAAGAACAGAGCTTAATCAAAATTAACAGGCAATAGTCTAATCCATACTATTGGTAGTAGCCTTGCTGCACTCCAAGAGACTGGAGCAGCCTTATTTATATGAAGTTCAGAGTACAAGGAAAATGCTCAGCATCCCAGGTGTTCTGGCTGCTAGTTTTGCTCTTACAAGACAACATGACTGAGTCTCAGCTACTTAGCTTGTATATGAAGCAAGAGAGTGAGGCATTAATTGTTGGTGTATTTTATTTCCCTAGTGGCCCCTTGTAATCTTACCTCCGTTTATCACAAATGGCCCTCACCAAATGAGCTGCTCTGACTGGGCCCAGAGCTAGGATCCACTCATAGTCTACCTTGTGAAAAAAATGTGTTAAGCCATCCTCAAAAGTTATCACATGCATCACAGGAGGACAGCTTCCTTAACACCCTTGCTCTGCATGTCAAAGCTTCAATCAGCATCATGACAGCTTCTCAACCAGCCCAGTCAAGTCTTCTCCCTTTTCTTTGCAATTGTTTCTTTGCAATTATTTCCTTGCAAAATAATAATAATATAGGAGAGAGCATGCAACGTATCAAAAACTAATAGGTTTCTGCTTTATCTTAAATGTTAATCCGTTGTCTATTTGATCTCAGTGTATCATTTCTCATCCTTCTTACTTCTGTGCTCTCCTTCGTTGTTGAAGGAAGTAAATCCAAGGGTGCGTTGCAAAACGTATACCACAACAGCATAGTATTCTATTGATATTCCAGATTCAGGTGAATATCGTGACGAGTTTATTGGTTGGTGGTCATTATTCACACACTGCCTTGGGAAGGAAATGCCAAATCTGCAACAGATTTCCAGCTGAGTTAAACCTTCAGAGCAGATGTATGCTATTTATTATTTATGCTTTAGTAGCAGCTGGAGACTCTGTTGTGCCAGGCTTATTACAAGAAGTTATTTTCCGAAGAGCTAAGTTGCAGACAACAGCTAGTCCCCAAGTCAGTATGCAAGGACTATGCTCACACAGCAGCATACCTGACAGGGACATCATACAAGGCCACCAGCAACCCGTTGCTTTTGCATAGACATCTTTATTTAGGGTCTGCATTCCTGAAACTTGCAAAGGAACCAGGAGTGGTATCTGAATAATGTGTCCCATCAATGCAAGGATTTACGCTTGCACAACTTTTGCCCTGTCTTGTCCCCCCTCCTGTGTATTTTCTAGGGATTCCCCCACCTCAACTGGCCTTAGAGTCTAAACCTATGCATGCTTACTTTTTCTGGGTTCAGATTTCTAGTGGGTACATGTAGCATTGCAGGCTTGATTTTTCTCTAAGTGGGATGACAGCTCCAGTCCAAACAGGAAAGGAAAAAAACCCATAAAAGGGATCCTAGGGAAAGACAAGAGTCCCTGTGTCTACAGACTCCTTACCCTTAAAGTGGAGGGAAGCAGAAGATGCTGGCAAAACTGAGTAGGTATAAGGAATGCATCAGTCTTGTCATGTGAGAACAGCATTCATCTCAGTCCTGCTGACCTTATTTTTAGTCAATTCATCCATCTTTGACCTCAAGCAATTCCAAGCAAGAGGGGGTGAAAAACTTTTAATAGAACATAGACCCAGTTTCAAATCCTCTTTTACTTATATTCTTGAAGAGGAGGAGAAGGTATTCCATAACTGAAAAGTTGCATATGCTTTGCAGAAACAAGAAAGAAATGAGAAGGAAAGGTCAATTCCACAGCACTGACGGAGCTTTTGAGCTTTTTTTAATCACACTGTGGATAAGTATTTTGGGCTCTTTTCTAAGGTACAGGTTATTATTACTGTAAAGGAACTGGCAGAGGGAACAAAAAACATAAAATAATTCTGTCTATTAGATCTTGTTTCTTGATTATCAGGTTCCTCGTTTTCCAGAAGAGAAGAGGCAAGTTTTCACATCTAGTCTTTGTAACAAGACATGCAGTAGTAGCAATTAGCTGTCTCCTCTCTGCTGGTCTCCGTTTCTCATCTGGGCACTTGCAATTACTGGTTTTTTTATTACAATGCATCTGTCCAAAAAAGTAACGGGCACCAGCAGCCGCCCTATATAACCACCACATAGAGTCACAGTGACCATCATTTCTCAGCAAGTGACTAGTATTTATAGAAGTGTGTATGTGATTTATCACAAGTAAATGTATAAAAGACAGTAATCTCTCCTCTGCTGGAACATTGTAAAACTGACATATGCAATAATTTTGCTCATGGTGATTACTGAGTAGATGTGTTTCTCCAGAGACGAGAATTGAGGTACCATAGAGAGTTACATCAATCTGGCAGGGCTTTGTTTCCGCAGCTTGAATGAGCCCATGGTGACTGCCTGCCTCTGGGCCACCAGTCTCTTCTTCTGCCATCCATTCTGTTCATTGTTAAAATCCTAATTTCAAAATGGGTAGGAGGCCGGAGGAGCTGTCATAAGAATCAGAGTCATTTGATTTATGTTCCACCTTTTCCACAAACACATTGTGCTCACAAGAGATGCACAATAGCTAGAGTAAATACAAATTATGACGCAGTTTAAAGTTTGACGATTAGCAGTTTAGTTAAAACACATCAAAAGTCAGTTAACAACATCCAGTACTAAGAACACCAATGTTAAACCCACATTGTGGAATCCATTCAGCAGTTCATATGAAGAGAGCTAACAAAAGATTGGTAGCCCACATCATTCTAGTTGTAAAAAAGGATAAGTTAAAACTAACAAAACTGAACTGGCAGCAGCCTCCTCCCAAGCCAAGCACAACACCCTTTTTAAAAGCCCTATTTGTGTCTAGATGTGCACTCACACACATTCTCACTGGGTTGACAGTCAGTAATGCATGTCGTGTTTTTTTCCTTGTTGTCCCTGCTCTGAACAGTGTATCAGGCTGTTTACTGGGACTCACCTGCAGCAGCAATACTTGACGCAGCTGATGAAAACAGTGATAACGGCAGATTAGTATCAAAACTAAGGCAGCTTTGCAGATAGGTTTTAAAAGGTTACTATTATTTGGCGTCTGTCAACAGCCTGGGTGTGTTAAGGGTGAGATAGGGGAAGCAAGGGAAGAAAAACTATAGACTTGTCTCATTATCATCCAGTTTACAAAAGTACTTGCCTGTCAGCTATTCTTATTTCTTACAGTCAGGCAAGTGGCTGTTTACAAGCCTGCTCTAGGGACCTCTACTTAGATATTGTTTGGGGCACTGGTATAGTTTTTATTTTTTTAAAAAAAGCTTGATGGGCTTCAGTGGTTCAGCAATTCAGGAGAGCTTTATTCCACCACTCCAAATGCCATTTTGCAGCATCTTGTTTGCTGATCTTTCTCATGATGAATTGGGTTGATGTGTCTCAAATTTAAGAACTTGTGTTTGCTCACAAAGGAGGCCCAGGCTCTGGTAAAGGAACCCAGTGCGAGAAATTAGCACAGAAGTATGGATTTTTGCATCTGTCGACGGATGGTCTCATCCAACGTGAAATGTCATCATTATCAGAAAGGAGCAGGATCATCAGAGATAACCTGGAAAGCAGCAAACTTGTACCAGAGGTAAGCTGTGATCCGGAGACGTGATGTGTCTGACAGAGAATCTGTGCATCACACGGACACAAAACCCAAAGAAGGAAAGAACATTTAGTGCAGTTATGACTGCCTACTGTTTGAAAGGATGTTAGGAATGGATTGTGCAGTGGGGCTGGGCCATTTACTTGACCTCCCTCTAAGACACAGAGACAGGGAGGAGCAGGGGCAATATAGTGACAGTGCAAATGTACACTGGAACACTGGATTGGCTTCGCCAGTGTGCTTACACCACATTGACCTTGCTGCTGCCTTGCTTCTCCCCATCTTCATCTGACTGTGCAGTAGTGACTTGGCCAGAGGGAGATCAGGCAAGAGATTCAGCCCCACCACATTCTCTGCTACTGGAATAAGTCCTCTTTCCACAACACATTTCAGAAGATCATTTGTTACTAGCCAAAGATTCCTTTGGCACCCTAAAATTCAACTGCAGTATGGCACAAAAAGCATGCTTACTTCAAGGCATCATAGGCTTTTTTGCCTCCCTCACACTGGTTTAGGCTATTTTAGAAGCTCTCTCGGTATACTATATTTACAAATGTCCCATGCTGAGTCAGATGTTAATCCAGCTCTGACTATGATGAGATTATTTTTTAAAATCCAGTAGTTCAGTAACTAAGCATTTTACTTCCTGTGAAAATGTGCAATGAGGATGTTGGCGCATCCTCAGCCGGTAAGGGTGGGGGCGTAGCACATGGGCCTGAAGTGATGCACTAGGATTGGGAGTTTTGTCTGTGTCTCACTCCAAAGTACTGCAGTGTCAAAGTGGCTTCTAAACAAAAATTATTTAATCTTCTTCCATTAAGGATATTGTTACGGATCTCCTAAAAGAAGTTATACTCGCCAATATGGGAGGCACAAATGGGTTCCTGATTGATGGTTATCCTCAGGAGATGAAGCAAGGAGAAGAGTTTGAGAGCCAGGTGAACATTTATTATTATTATTTTTAAAAGATTTTATTGGTTTACAAAAGTCTGTGCATTCTCATTTTTTTCAGGATGTAAAGTCTTTCCTACATATCAATTACATTTGTTACAAGACATTAATGTTGACTACAGTATAAGGTAGGGATGCGGGTGGCGCTGTGGGTTAAACCACAGAGCCTAGGACTTGCTGATCAGAAGGTTGGCGGTTCAAATCCCCGTAATGGGGTGAGCTCCCATTGCTCATCCCCTGCTCCTGCCCACCTAGCAGTTCGAAAGCATGTCAAAGTGCAAGTAGATACCGGCGGGAAGGTAAACAGTGTTTCCTTGTGCTGCTCTGGTTCGCCAGAATCGGCTTAGTCATGCTGGCCGCATGACCCAGAAGCTGTATGCCGGCTCCCCTGCTGATAAAGCGAGATGAGCGCCGCAACCCCAGAGTCGGTCACAACTGGACCTAATGGTCAGGGGTCCCTTTACCTTTACAGTATAAGGTTGGGGAAGAAGTGAGGAGAGGAAGAGGAGTGGTGAAACTTATATTCTAGGTGAGCATTATCACATTGTGAAGGGAAAGGCTGCAGCTTAACAGCAGAGCACTCACTCAGAATGCAAAAGGTTCCAGGTTCCATCCTTCTCTAGGTAGGTCTGGGGAACACTTCCATCTGAAAACCCTGGAGAGCCACTGTCAGTCTGGGTAGATCGGCCTTCCCTAACCTGGTGCCATTCAGATGTTTTAGACTGCAACTCCCATCAACCCACCCAGCATGGCTGGGGACCAGACAGAGCATGAGAGACTGATGGTCTGGTTCAGGAAAAGGCACTTTCCTATCTTCTAATTAGGGCTGCCAGGATTTTTTTTCAGCAAGCGACCTGTGCCTCGTACTGCTCTGCAACATGCTGAAATTCATAAAAATGATGTCTTAGTATGCAGATACCCTTCAGAAAAGCTCTGCCTGCTGAACTCTTGTGTTTAATGTTCATACATTGCATATCACTTTTTATGCAGACAAAGCACACAAAATATCAATTTAGGAATGCACTGATACAAACTATTTAGAAACCGATACATATGCAGTGCAGTTTATGTTTGCCATAGAATTGTTTAAAGAAAGAAGAAACCCAGATATAAATATATAGACAAGGCAGTGAGAAAAAGCACTGAGCTATTTCATTACAGATCCATATGTTTTCCATTCACATTTTGAGTTTCCCCTTTTGCTGATGGAGAGCTGGAACACAATAGCTCTGCTGCATCAGGGCCTTCTGATCCAGTCCTCAGGTCTCACACTGGCCAAACAAGATGTCCATGGAAAGCCTGCAGACAGGACCTGAGTATCCTTCCCTTTTGTTCCCTGATAACTGGCACCGATAGCATTATCCTCCACAAATCCCTTGTCTAATCCCTTTTAAAGCCGTCCAATAGGTAGCACATTACTTGCCAGCTACTTCAAAATACCCTAAATAATTAGCTGAGGTGGGTTGAGGGGAATGACAACATACATATTCCCTCCCCCAAGTAGCTCCTTTGAGTCTTATCTCTGTGCACCTGATGCAAAGTGCGCTGGTGGGATTTCATTTAATCTTTTAATTAGGAAATACCAATGAAGAGAACATTATTATTTTTACATTGTCATAAAGCACTTTTTGTACAAAGTACTGAAGATTAATCCTGTCATTAGAACACCAAGAGTCATGGGCTTCACTTCCTCATCTTGGCATAAACGACCTCTTCCCCTTAAATAAGCGGCTCCCTCCAGGATATTATTCAATTGTTCCCTCGTCATTGTGATGTAACATTTTAAAATATGGCATAGTTGATTCCTCAGTTCACACCAAGAGTGTTATTGTGTCAGAATAACTCCTCACTAGGTCAGAGACTAATTTTTGGTACACTGGTGCCTCCTTGTGCATGAAATGAATTATGTTATCATCTGCTATGTAACACTGCATGGAGAGGTGTTTTTCCATTAAAACATCATCTCAGGGCTGATTTAGATGTTGCATTTTTGCAGCTTCAAGATTCTCTGCTTCTACACTAGCTATTTTAGTTATTATTTTCTCAAACAGCAGCTTCCAATGCTAAATGGGGAAGCTTCTTTTGAAACAAACAGGAGTCTACAACATGGCAGGAGGTTAAGCTAGTTGTAAGAATCCTTTTACTTTACATAATATTGCACAAACCTAGAATCAACAAATTGTAGAGTTGAAAGGGACTCCAAGGGCCATCTAGTCTTAACATCCTGCAATGCAGGAATCTCAACTGAAGCACCCAAGACTAATGGCCATCCAACCTCTGCTTAAAAACATTGACTGAAGGATAGTCCACCACCTGTTGTGGGAGTCTGTTCCACTGTTGAACTGCTCTTGCTGTCAGAATCTCCTTTCTTGTAACTTGAATCCAATGGTTTGGATCCTAGCTTCTGGAGCAGAACACAAGCTTGCTGCATCATTGCACGTGACAGCCCTTGAGATATTTGAAGATGGCTATCGTAACTCCTCTCAAGTCTCTTTTTCAGGCTAAACATACTCAACACCCTCAAAAGGCTTGGTTTCCAGACCCTTTATCACCTTGGTCGCCCTCCTCTGCACACATTCCAGCTGGACAATATCCTTCTTAAATTGTGGTGCCCAGAACTGGACCTTATACTCCAGATGGGTCTAAGGCAGAATAGAATGGTACTACTGTTTCCTTTGGATCAGGACACTATACTTCTGTTGATGCAGCCTAGAATAGCATTAGCTTTTTTTGCGGCTGCACAACACTGTTGATTCATGTTAGCTTATGATCTACTAAGACCCATAGATCCTTTTCATATGTACTAGCAATCCAGCTGCCCCCATCTTATATTTGTGCAACTGGTTTCTGCTGCCTAAGTGCAGAACCTTACATTTGTCCCTACTGAAATTTATTTTGTTAGTTTTGGCCCAGTTCTCCAATCTATTAAAGTCATCTTTAATCCTGAGTGTCTTCTGCAGCACTGGCTACCCCTCCCAGTTTGGGGTCATCTGCAGATTTGATGAGCATCTGCTCAAGTCCTGTTTAGATTGTTCTTGAGTCATCTGTCTGTATCTCTCCTACAAAATCCATGTGGATGTTGCATTCTGACCTCATTCCCTTGAGGAAGAAATCTATGCTGTGATCAGCTCTTATATTCAGTCAATTTTCTCATTTTTTTCCAGATTGGCGAACCATCTCTGATGCTCTGTATGGACTGCTCTTCTAAGACAATGAGCAGCCGCCTTCTGAAAAGAAGCCAGAACAGCCAGTGCTCGGATGGCAGTGAAGAAGTCATCATGAAGAGCATCCAAAATTACTACCAAGCAGTGGAGCCTGTGATCACCTATTATGAAAACAAAATTCCATTGTTTAAGGTAAACCGGCTAGGCTTTGGAACTGGACTATGGTACCTTCTTCTTCTGAATACACCCAAAAGGCTAAGAGCTAATTCACATGTGCTGTAAGCTTTCCAAGAGGCCATAATCCTCTCCTAGGTTTGCACCAGGGCATATGCACCAACCACAATGTTCAGTTCAAATATTGGTTTGGCACTTTGGAAAACAGTTTTGTCATGGTCCAAAGCATTTTGGAGGCTGCCTGGTTCCCAAGAGCATATGAAGAACCCAGTGGGATCAGGCCAAAGGCCCATCTTGTTCTTACACTGGCAAGCCAGATGCCTATGGGAAGCTCACAAGCAGCACCCTGAGTGCAGAAGCATCTTCCTCATTTGTGATTCCCAGCCACTGGGATCCAGAGGCATAAGTGAGTCCCCTTCACTACTAGAAAATGAGGAAATAGCTATAACTTGTTTCCTTTTATGACAGAAGTGGGTAACATTTGCAAGCATGCTGGTCCACCAACTTACAAGCAACTAGGTCTCAGGATTTTTGTGTTGGGCACTTTAGAAGTTAGGGTGGTTGTTGTTGTGTGTTTTTAAAGGAAACATCTTGTTTCTATTTGGTAGCTCCCAACTTCTAGTATAGGGGAAGGCAGTCCCTTAGGTAACTTGGTTCCAAGTTGTGTGTAGCTTTAAGAAAATCTTGAAAATGGCTCTGTGGCCTGTTAAATAGCTCGGTACTTAATATACTCAATTACACTGTTTAACTAAAGCACTGAATAATGCCCTATTGCAGGACTATTCAAAAAGGTCACACACATATATTCTATCCTGAAATGAATTTCATAAAACTTAACTAAAAATAAAAACCAGGAAAGCAAGCTTTATTTTCTAGCGCACAGGGCATCTTGCAGCTACTGAGCATGCTCATTCCTCTTCAGGCTGTTTTGTTTTTGCCCTTAGGATTTTTGTACTTCAACAGAACCAAAGGTTATCTCAAGCATGGTGCTGCTTCTCAGCAGCATTTTGACTAATCCTGTAGGCACTCACCTCCTGAATTTGCATTGGAGGGAATAATTATAGAATACCAGAATGGTTTCCTTTTTGAGGTTCAACTATCTGATGCATAAAATCTCTTTTTTTAACAGATAAATGCAGAAGGGACACCAGAAGAGGTTTTCCTTGAAGCATGTGCTTCTGTTGATGCTTTTCTGAAAAAGGAAGGAACGGCACCATCTCTTTCCGTGTAATTGCAACGCTTTCTATCTCGTATGCACAGTCAGTGGTCATCAAAAATGCTGTCTAAAGCCACAGCTGCTGCCTTGAAAGATTAGTGCATATTGTAAACTTTGTTTAAAAAAAAATCAAATCTGTATAACCCATACAGTATAGTAACATTCAAGTACTGTATGTTGTCTATCATACAGTTTGCACTTTGCAGGTTAAAAAGCAGCATGGTAAACAACAACTCTAATTCCTAGAAATCATGTCTTGCCTTTCACTATTACCTGGTATACTATACAGCATCCGAATTTCCAGTTAACTGACAGTCGGCAGAACTGACAGAAATGTTTTGTCTCTGTAAACGAACAGCTCAATTCTGAGACTATTTAAGCTTGCTTTTTTTCTTATAATGCTTGAAAAAATCTGTTTTCTGACATTTTATCTTACTGGTGGAACATGCCTGCAGTTGAGTTGCAGTCATTAACACAAAGCAGCAGAAGTTAAGAAATCTTCTGAAAAAGTGGTATCTTATTATACAATGTAGTAAGTAAAATGTTAAGCAGTTAACAAATATGATTATGGGATCAGCTGCTGTGTGAACACCAAAATGGGTACAAACAGCCTATGTACTTAAATGTGATAATGTAAGGATATTGCGGTCTGGTTAAAACAACAACAAACCAGTGCCAAATATTGCTGGTGCACTTAATGTATAAGCACTTATAGTATTTGAGTGTCAAAATACATATGTTAAGATAGCTAACATGCACCCTTTAAAGAACATGGGGGCATCACATCAATACATGTTGTTTTCTGTTGTCTGACAAGTATTTCAACTGTAAATCTCAATTTTAGGTCTTTCATTGCCTGGGGAACATGTGAAAGAGATGTGTTTTACTCAGCCTGTGTTTATAAACCGGCAAGGACACTCTTTGCACAAAACACAATGGGTTGAGCCAAAGAAGACTGGGCAGAATGCCACTGATGCAGTGGTGCTTCCCTGGCTCCCCCTCCTCACTAAAAACCCCTGCACACCCTAAAATTGATTCCTGGTACAGGCAAAACAAAAAAAATTCCTTCCAGTAGCACCTTAAAGACCAACTAAGTTAGTTCTTGGTATGAGCTTTCGTGTGCATGCACACTTCTCCAGCTCATACCAAGAACTAACTTAGTTGGTCTTTAAGGTGCTACTGGAAGGAATTTTTTTTGTTTTGACTATGGCAGACCAACACGGCTACCTATCTGTCCTGGTACAGGATGAGACATAAGGGCTCAGGGAAATTAGAGGATGTTGGTAGGGGTGCCTTGGATAAGTAGAAGTACTTTCCCACTCAAGTCAAGGTATCTCTGGACACAAGTAAAATTGATTTCACAAATAAGTAAAAATGCTGAGATTTTCTGAACAAGATAAAAACATATTTGATTTCTTCAGAATTGGCTCCTACCTTCTCCTGGACCATCTACTATTTCTTCTTGCATGATTCATCTCTGTCAACAGTTGCGTTTTGAAGCAGATTTGTATTTTTCAAGCTACTTTTCTTGTACTGAAGATGTAAAACAAATAAAATGTATGGACAAACGCTAGGAGTAATAATTTTTACTTTGCACTTTTGGTTTCATTAAACAAAAGCAACCATCCAGAGAGGGTTTTAAATATTTTTACTTCATTATCTGCAGATCCTTCTGCATTTTTCAACTTGCTTTAAATTTGCACAATAAACAGCTTGCTACTCTCTGAACTATCAAGTGCGCTTTTCTTTTCCCTGCAACTGTGGATGTTCCTGATTGTTTGAGCCCTTTTACAAATGTTTTCCGGAATTTTTATTAATGCAGTATTATGGCAACTGCTGTGGGAACAAGTCAGGCATGTGGGAGCAGTTTGTCAGGACGTATAAGGAAGCACAGCACTAAACTTCATTGCAAATTTGAAGAAACTCACGTAAAACATTGATTTGCACATTGATCTCTGCTACTTAACAAGGTTTGGGGAAATGACCACAAGGTTTTAAAATTCCAAAATAGGCCACCCTTATCTTGGTTTCATTTTATCTTTCATAAACCTTCAATGTACACAAAGTTTGTTACTTCTGGATTATCAGGAAAAATAGTCAGAAACTTAGCCCCCCACCCCCCAAAAAGCTGATTTTAAAATCTATCAAGATCATCCAAACAAACTTAGATGAAGATTAACTACCTATTCTATATGGCTTTGATGGGTATGCTGCTGGCTTACCCTTTCTGTAATATGCAATTTGAGCATGTACTCGGGCTTCTTAGAAAATGGGTGATGTGATGTAACAAATAAACCAATTATTTAATTAAAACAAAAGATCAACTAAGAGATTTAGTTGTGTTTCACCCATTAGTTTTCCCCAGCTGTGTTTGGCACACAATGGAATCCCACAGGAAGTGTATTAGGATGGGTCCAACATCAAATTGGCTGCCTTGCTTACAGAACACCTGCTCAGTGTGGTGGCTTACAGAACCAATCCCTTTTCTGAATGTCACGGCTAGTATGGCAACGGATCGCCCCCACATCACAAACTTCGAATGTTGCAGTGTAAAAGAATTATTAAGGCTGATGGGTTACACTATTTGCATATGTAAAAAGGACATAATTTATATTTGCATAATTAGTATTTGTCTTTCCCAAAGCAATTTGCCTTTGCTTTTGTTAAAGAGAAAAGTGAAATACATCAGGTGTATTCTTTTCCGTTATATATATTTTGGTTTATTAAATTTCTCAAAGAATGAGATATGCTTACAGACGATGTGTTATACTGCTCAGTCATTAGAAACGGTACTGCATCATCTACTCAATATATTAAAAAAATGCTCAAGCTCCTCTAACAAAGAGTGATTACACCTAACAAACACTGTGAAAATTAACACTGTGAATAAACAAATCAAAACTGCTATCAAATGCACCAGCCAATTCTTTGTTAGTTATTTACTGCCATATTTAAGTTAAACATGTACTCGAAGTCATTCTGAAAATTCAAGTTTTTTTTTAGCAAGTGGAAATCTATTACAGTTAAAATAATCATTATTTCTGAATCACAAGTTATACATGTCAAAATGATATATTAGCTAAAAATATGTAACAAATATTACAAAGCTTTTTCGATCATTGCTATATTTAGGCTAATAAAGCATACCAAAATGCTTTTCCTTTTTACTCTGCAATTATAATACTGGGGGGAACGACTGCATCATAGCCATAGAGAAGTTACATGGAAATATTACTTATTTGCTTGATACCTTCTCCCATGTAGTCAATCCAATCCGGTGGTTTCTTAAAGACACGGTAATTCTGACATGCACCCCAATGCGCTGCTCCATTAATTTTAAAAGTATACAGCTGTGCATGAGCATTAACACATGTGCAAACCTACATCCTCCATCAAAGTGAATAGAGTAGCACATGCGCAAAAGGTCTATCTGCAAGTGGGAACAAACACGGCTCAGAACTGGGGTGTGCCAGGATCAGGGTATTTGTGCATAATCTTTGAAGAGGCTGAGTAAATAGCTGGGCAAAGGCTACCAGGACACACTGAGCCCCTTAAGAGGATCAGATGTCCCTTGAGTTTAAGAGCTAAATTATATTTTCAATTCTGAATGTTGGTTCAATAGTCAAACCTCAAAAAAAAGTCACAGTAAGCATTCTATATATAAACAGACTGTATCCACATAGTTTATTTCTCACAGTTCTCCTGACAATTGAACATTATTTAAGAACATACTGTATACACAGATAAGAAGAAACATACAAAATGCTTTAAATGATGCACAACAAAATCCAGCAGTATAAAAGAATGCATGTGAACCCTTGCTCACTGCTCAGGCTAAATTTAATCACTTGTTTAAATAGTAATAAAAATACAATCTTTCATGGATCTTGTGCATACTACAAAAGAGGAAAATTATTCCCATATATGATTTATATTAGGCAGTTTTCTTTGATGAGTTGCATTAACAACTCCAAATACAGAGGCAGAAGGCTGTGTATTTTACTTTATAAGAGTTAATGTTGGGTATTAGAGACTTTTACACAGTTACTACCACTGGCACTTTTCACCATATTTTTGTACACATCACATGGTCATTTTATATAACATTACATTTAAAAATATATTTGCGTGACAATTTTATAATATTCACACACCATGAGCTGGTTAAGGAAGCAGTGCCACTGTTGCCTCCTGTAGTGCTTCACTGTTGGTAAATAAAATTTTGTTGTGGTAAAAAGAAAATAAGAAAATGAAATGAAAGTAAAGAAACATCAACTTGATTAAGCAGCTCCAATTTTATAAAGGCCTATTACCGACCATCACAGAGACAGTGATTGTTTTAAGAATACGTTCTAGACGCAAACACTGTCTTAGGTTAAAACTCTGCCTAAAGAAGTCAGTTTTCTGTGCTGCAAACTATTTTCACAACAAAACTGCAAACTACTTAACTGTTTTTTAATGTACGCACTTCATCATCTCTGCACCTCCTAGTAGTCAAGTTCTTTGGAAATGACTATCTTTAATGTGTGCTTTCGTTTCCAGCCACACTTTTGCAACTCCTCTCTTCAGATTAAACCAATTTACACCCCCCCCGCCTCCCCCCAAACTAACGCAGTGAAAAGAAAATCTCCCCCAAAAGCTTTCCGCACACTAGGAATGTTCAACCTCTGTTCAGTTATCTAGTATCATGACAGGTCAGAGAGCAGGATTTTGATGAGGGCACTCGGGACGCTCTCATGCTGAGGATGACATTCCTGGGAAAGCAAACGTCTTCCCAAGGTGGACACAGAATCGCCAACAGTGCCACGGTTGGTTTTCAGAGAGGATACTAAGTTTCAGGTTGCAGATTTGCTTTCCATGTCATCTATTTGCAGGAAAGTAGTTGGGGTCAAGGTAATTATAAGTGGGGCCTTGGGACATACAGTAGTCTCTATCTAAGAACATTTCTGCTCTGTACATAGGCTCCAATCGGTGACTTTCCTTGTGAATATCTGTTTCATGCAGACTGAAAGAAAAGGAAGAAGCATTATTTGATAAGTATGAAATTCCGCACAAAAAAATCCATGGGTTAATTCCATTTGTCAAAAATTCTCACACTAAACATTTGTCAAAAATGCCCTACAAAATATCATAATTATACCCTATGCATACAATATTTTATCCTCAGTGAATTTATATAACTTTCTGGTACGCATTTCATATCATGATTTAAATTTGGGGAGGGGGTATAAATTACATGTGATTTTAGTCCTCTACTCAGAGAAAAGACCCACTGAGACAAGTATGCATCGGATTTCCGCTTTAAGCTTATTGTTAGTAATTGTCATAGATGCATGTTGCTTACCAGTCAGAACAAGAATCACAGAAATCCAAAGACATTTCTGGAGGGCAGTCTCGGCAGTGCCACCGAATGCCTTGAATGGGATCGATTCCACAGTTATCGCACTGAAAACAGATTCAGGAGAGAACACTCAGGAAAACCATTTCCAAAAGCAATTTCCAAAAATGTAAGTCTCTACAGATTACAGAGGGCATCAAAAGTTGTGATTTAAGGAATATTTACTCACCCTCAATACTGAAAGAACACATAGGAGAATATAACTGGCTGAGAGAGAGAGGAAATAAGTTGCTGTGCCTAAGGCTGTAGTGTAGGGGTGTGCGTGTGCCAGGGAGTCCACGAGCACAATTTCTGAAGCGGCATGAACCAGGCGTGACCATGTAGGCACCCCCAGCACAGCCCAACACAGTAACACAGTGTCCCTCTCTGCCCACCAAGGCTGGCAGGCTCCCCCCTGCACGGGCGGGCAGGTGACTCAATGCAGCCCTGCTTTGCTCCAGTGGCGGTCGCTCTGGCAGTGTGGGTGAGGCTGGCACACATACACACCGCAACCTGGCGTGCACCCACCCTGGGTACCCGCAGTCGACGCTAAGCTGCTGCTAAGAGCTAGTTTGCATCATAAACAGTTTTCTCTAACATCTCCCCTTTGAGAATTATGAGCTAGGTTGCAATGCAACTACTATAGTTATTGGTAACTAGCTCTACAAAAAGCTCAGGATCACCTACAAACGTCATTGTTTCATCTCTGTCAATGTTCAAGGGGGAAAACCTTTTTGGAAATGTCACTGCCAGTGCAATCTTACTTAAGATTAAATAATAGTAACAATAATGAAATTTATTACCTACCCTTCACCAGCAGTTCCCGGGGCAGCTTACAACAGTCTTAGGTGCAATATAACCAGTTTCTAACATGAAGGCTAGGTCCCAAAAACAGCTATAATTTTTCTCAATCTCTCTTTAGGTAAGTTTTACTCAGCTTGCATGGACCACTCTAAAACACTACGCTTGTTCTAATCCAATGACCCTGCCACCCAAGTTGACTAAAGGAGTGGCAGGAAAGTTCCCACTTAACCCTCCAGCTTTACTAACCTTAAAGCCTATGTGTTGCACAAAACCACTTTCGGCACGCATGTGCTGCAGTTTCTGCTTCTTCAGTTTTTTTAGCTCAAGCAGCTCTTTGTATTCTGGTAATTCTCGATATGCTACAGGGATACTTTCTTCATCCTGTTAAAGGGGGGGGATGAATAATATTAAGAATCCAAACCATTTAAGCAGATCCACAAATAGTATTTTTGTTATTTTTTGCCCTCTAAGACAAAATTTAAGAATAGAAATGTTAGAATGGCTTCATTACTGAAAAGACATTTCCCCCTCTCCCTCTTAAAAATTAACATGAGCTTGATTTTTAAGTTATCAGATTCATTCATCAGCTCTAAAAACACTTTGATAGCTAGGAATAGGAGAGAGATGTGGCTGGAAAGCTTTGAAGAACTATTGAGACAGGAAGAAACAGAATGTCCCCTGAAGGCAGAGATGCAACCAAGACAGAATGAAAAATTCTAATAGGGTCTTGCATGACTTCTAATGTAATCTTTGAAATGTGATAGAGAACAGATTTGTTTTCACTCAAGATAAACCTAGCAAACAAAATCCTTCAATGCAGTTTTACAATCTGAGGTGCAGAATAGGAGAAGGTTTATGAGATTTATTTTTACTCTGACTTTTGCCTTTAAAAGCCCTCAAGATGTCTCATAAAACAAAATCACATTACACTTGGATTTGTGTGGCTTTCTTCAGCCTCCTGTTCTATGTCCCCTTCTCAGGGTCGGCAGGACAATCTCTGACCAAAGCTGCCTATTACCAAATAAAAAGTAGTCCAGGATGTACAATTGCATGGGAAGTAAGAACAGTGGTAGAAGAAAAGAGGAAGAAGCAGAAAAGTCATGTTCTGAAAAAAGCCACCTGTCTTGCTGAGAGAGCCCTGAGAAACAACACACTTTGTTCTCCCTGATGGCAGAGTTCAATGGAGCTATCTCCCAAGAAAGTGCACAGAGGATCACAGCCTTGGAGATGCTGTGGAAGGTACGTGCAGGAGACGCTACCTGTGAGGGAAGTGGAAGGCCTCCTCTGGCTCCTCACGAGGGTGGGGTAAAGCAGAAGGGATGGACTAAAGTGGCCCTAGGACCACAGCAATGGCCTAGTTCTCTTTTTTCTTATAGAAGCTGAACATCCAGACAGAAAATAAACTAATGCCATGAATGAAAACAATGTGTCTGGTCGAGCTGGAAAGACTGCACCTAACCATTTCCAAGCTGAGAAGTTGTGGAAGATAAATTTCTTTATCTGACTACCGCTTACACTTGCACGCCACAGAATCACTGTAGGCAACCCTCACAGCAAAATCAATGTCATCTTATAATTATAGAGCTGTATCTGAGGGATGTGAATTCAAAGCTCTAGCGCTGAGTTATCCTGCTTACCAACCACAATCAATTCTCTGGAAATCATTCATTTGGCAAGCGTTCACAAAATGAGTACAATTTCTAATGACTTCTATGGGAACGTTTCTAATCTGTGATTTATCTGATCTCTCTCCCATTCCCTCCATAGTTTCTTCCTGAAATGGCTGCAGCCAACCAGCAAGAGAGAGACAAAAGGAAAACTGGTTTGTCCACTCCCTCCTGCTCCCTGATTTATCTGATCTCTCTCCCCACTTCCTCCCTGCATGGTTTCTTCCCAAAACAAGTAAGTAAGTAGGCAAACTCCAGCTGTCTGGATATCCGAATCTGTAGTGTGTATAGCAAGGTTTGGGCATAATTCTTTATGTAAGTCTTTATGTAATAACTGAATTTTCACATAGTGGGTGGGCAGACAGCAGGACCTGCATGTACAAAGAAGATCTGCCCTTGTCTGTTGAATAATAATAATCACATAAGAAATGTACCAAGATGCTGAAGATTAAAGCAGAAGTATTTTCAGCTCTCACATGGGGGTTTGGAAAGGAAAGGAAAAATAAACAGATACACTTTTACCCAACACTTTTGGCACCAAAAACCTGTTCCTATTATATTGAAGATTTTGCTTTACTCAACACAGGCATTCCTTGAGCTGTCTTAACTCTCAGCACCTTCATGCATAATCATCTACTTAGAATAAAAAATATACCGATGATTCCTCCTCTGCTGCATTGCCTAAATGACTATGAAAACTTGATCTGTCATCATCTTCGTCCATATACACGGGAGGTTCATGGGATGTCATGAAAGTTGAGGGCTTGAAGAGATGTTTATTCAGAGGATGTTGCCTTCTACTGGAGGACTAGAACAGAAGAACATACCATCTATGAAATGGTATTAAGAAACCACCATCGTAACATTTTAACAGTATCCAATGTGTTCTCACCATCGGTTTGGGAAGCTGTATACACACAGCATTAGCCACAATCCATATCTATCATGTAGTTTCTTGTTAAATATTGCATTTTGATGCGCTTCCCCCAAACCAGCTTCAACATGAATTGAATACTCATCAGGAAAAGGCATCCTCGCCGTGTCTCGGCCCACTTCTGTGGACATTCACAGGCAATTTAGATACACACCAAACTGCTGACGAGTACAACAAACAAATGCTGTTTGAAATGCAGTGAAAAAGAACCATCACATTACTTCTAATTTTCATTATAAAGACATTATTACAACATATGGTCAAAACACTGATGAATTCTGAAAACAAGAAATTGTTTTGCCAAAAACTGGCTGAAAATCTGATTAAGTAATTAAGTGAAATAGAACACTCCCGCTTCCTTATTTACAAAATCCCACAAATAAAACGATTTGTGTAAGCGATCAACAAGGCTCTTCAGAACCAATGCAAACAGGGTGCTTTAAACCAAAACGTTTAATAACCGGTTTAAAAACAGAATTTAAGTAACGAAGAAGGAAAATGCCACTGTGTAGGACCCAAAGCTCTACAAATCCACAGAAGGAAGGGCCTCTCAGTCATACTAGCCTAGAGGTGAGGGGGTGAGGAAAAGGCCTCCACCTTCCACCCTGGCTGGGCATGGTATGAAACTGTGGATCTGCTGCTCTGATATTCCACTGAATGTCCACTTTAAACCATTCGTTGGATATTTATGGTAGCAGACAGGTTGGTGATCATCAGATTTTGGGAAGGGATTGAAAGGAAAAACCAAATAGAGGTAAGCTAAAAACAGCAAGGCGGGGAAAGAAAAAATGCCATGGATAAATTTGTGTTGGAATGGTACAGTTTTATTACACACATGAACAAGGCATACAACAGTGCGCTTTAAACCATTATCTCTTAAACAAACTATGGTTTAATGTGAATACACAACATACTGGTGACACACTGCTGAAAATTTCCCAGTCCTCTGCTTCTATACCACTAGGGAATAAGTCAGTCTGGAAAATTAATCCCCCCAGATTAACTCCGAAAATTCCCTGGTTCTATTTGTCTTCAATTTGGTGGGTTTCTTGCCCCAGCACACCTCTATATCTGTAAATTTCAGTCTAATTGTCCACAAAGCACTAGGTAAGATGAAGTGATTCCTTTTTTAAGCCATCTGCTACAATTGTAACGGCTGACATTGTGCGATACCTCTGAAGGTATCCTTCTGAAATTTGGCATGATTCATCCTTAAAAAGGGGTGATCTTGTCTCCAAATTGCATCTAATCCCCCCCTCAAAAAAGAGTTATTGATATTTGGGGTTTTGTTTTTTAATCATAATAAAATGGTGTCCAGCACAAAAGCCCCTAGATCAGTCTGAAATTTGGCAGTCTTTGACCACTATGGAGAGGCTACTCTTTCTGAAAATTTATTCGCAAGCAAGCAAGCAAACAAACAAACAAACAAGTAAAATGTGCTGATAAAGCACCATTCATGTTTTCCACAAATATATTTTTATCTAAATGCCAGAAACAGATGTGAAATATTCTAGCAATTACCTTTTTGGAGTAAAAATACAAGTTTGGAGTTCTGCCTGGAACTGGAATACCAGCCTTAGTCAGTTTTATAAAATACTTTTGCACTCTGCTGGCAACCTGAAAGAGTGAAAACAGATTTTTAAAAATACATATGGGCACTAATTCTAAACATTAATACCAATTAGTAAGCTATGTTTTGTATTTAAAAAGGTAAAAACATGAGAGATGGATGACAGCTGGTAATGTTACCTTAAACATTTAACAGAGACATAGTGAACATTATCTACTTTACAAATGTGCCACTCATAAGTTCCTAGCTGCCATGCTGCTCCATACACTTAAAGCCATGCCCTCTTCCCTATTCATAAGAACACTTCGCACTCCTCTTCAAATCCGTCATCAAGAACAGCTTCATTTGCAAAGCCCTTCCAGAGCTCTGTTTGCCCACTTGTCACTCACTTTCCCAGATTGCTTCTACTCCTCCTCCCTAATCCCCTACTTAATTTTGTCTGTAACTTGTATAAAGACATTGTCACCTCCATTTTCCGCGATATCTGCCCAATATTGCTGGTGCTTAAAAGCAATTAAATAGTGAACATACAGAGCCACAGATACCAAAAAGTTATGGAATAAAGCTTTTTAATTTGCTAAATTAGCAAAGTAAGAGGTTACAGATTATTTTTCATTCTGTCCTTCCTTCAACAAGATCAGAACAATATATATTCAATTCAGGATTATTTAAAATATGAAATATTCTCTCTAAATTCCTATTTAATAGGATACCAATATTTTCAGATTATGAAGAAACCTATTTAATGAATGTATTGTGGCCAGGAAAAGATCTAGGACATATAAAATGTCTTAAGGGGGAAGGACTAGAAGTTCCTAATATAATGCTACATTGCAGTCATATCATAGGGCATTATTGGTTGCCTCTTAGTTGTGAATCTGGTTACAAAAGAGAAAATATTGCAAGTACTATTAAATTGTACTTTGCTCATCAGCAAAATGTGGGCTTCGGGGCTTCTTTTTGAGAAAGGTATACAAATTTAATAAATGAGTAAGTGAGGAAAATGCACGTTTCAAATTAAAAAATATTCCAGATGCGCCTTCAAACTACAGTGGTACCTCGGGTTACATACGCTTCAGGTTACATCCGCTTCAGGTTATAGACTCCGCTAACCCAGAAATAGTGCCTCAGGTTAAGAACTTTGCTTCAGGATGAGAACATAAATTGTGCTCCGGCGGCGCAGCAGCAGCAGGAGGCCCCGTTAGCTAAAGTGGTGCTTCAGGTTAAGAACAGTTTCAGGTTAAGAACGGACCTCCGGAACGAATTAAGTACTTAACCCGAGGTACCACTGTAATTATAACGCATTGTGGTATGGAGTCAACTCTAATTTTAATCAAAGGAGATAAATGAATTTTCTTCAGTCTAGGATAAAAATCCTTTTCACACATTTATAATTTTACTCTAGGTGCAATGCAACAACCCGAAAATCTGAAATTTGCCATTTTTAATGTACTTTGAAGACAAAGTTTACTAGAGAGCTGGTACCATTAAAGGATTATTGGGGGGGGGGATGCTTGCCACTGATAGCATACCTAACTTGTTGGCATCTGTCAGTCTCATGAGACAATGGAGTACGCCTCCAGGGATGAAGTCAAGCTGCTGCATTAGCAGCACCTAAGTGACCTCCCTGGGGCGCAAGCCAGAGTAGTGTGCATAGAGGCCCTGCTCAGACAACAGGATCCACCCCCCTTGGCATATGTGATCCAAAGGAATACAGGGCAATGTGTTTGGCACCAGCTTGGCTGCAGTTGTTGGAAAGAGGTGTACAAAGTGCCATCCATCTTAGGGATTTGTGTAGGGTTCACTTCTTACCCTTTTCTTTTCCTGAAGATATCCCCCAAGGCAGCGAAGGGTTAGGACCAGAGTTTTCTTACTAATACCTACTAATTCATTAATTAATTTGAAAGAACAACAAACTAATAATACCGGTGTTCAAAAACTAGGTTCTCAGTGGACATTATAGAGGAATATAATTCTGAAGCCTCTGTGCTATTTGTATGAAAGAACTCTGCTAAGGTTTAGCTTTGATAGTAGCTCATTACTGGGAAGAGACAAATTGATAATTTGAGTAGATTTTGTTGAAAATATGGTTCAAGATAAAATTGATTGCCACCCACTGCTATTCTTCTCACCAGTCCAGAAGAAATTGTATAACCAATGAAAGCAACTCTTAGCAAAAGCAACAGATGAGAGTCTGTTGGGGCAATGAGAAGAGAACTGAGCAGGAAGGCACCTGTTGCACTTCTTGAAGCTTCTGCACCAGGGATTGGATATCTACCCCTAGTTCTCTGGCTTGTTTTACACAGGCACAAAACCCACCTGTTGGACTGCACAGACCTCAAACAAGTGTTGCTCCCTATTACCTGCTTCGCAGTTCTGTTTCCCAGTTCATCAGCTATTTTCTGCCATCGTCGAGATTCTATTTCTTCTGGTGGATACTTCAGGAGTAGTAATTCAAGCTTTTTCTGAAGCAATCACAAAGTAGGTCATAAATACCAATTAATGTTTCACAAAAGAGCTCCACTTATTCATTAATGGGGGTGGGCAGGGGTGGGGAATACAATGCAAAAGCCAAATGAACATTATAGAACTGTATGATTCTGCTAGCCTCATTTTCCATTACCTGTTCTTCTGTACTCCACAGCTGATTAAAAGTTTCAGGTTTGGTCTCATCACAAAGTCGCCCTCTTATCATCTGCTTAAATACAGTACATAACATGGGACAAGACTTTAGAGAAGTTCATATAACTGGATTTAATTCAAACAAAACCAGAGTTTACTCAATGAATGACTAAGCAAATCATCTAAATTTTCCCAATGGGCAGGTATTTGAAACTGGTGCCTTTGAATTCATTACAACTATTGAAAATGCTGTTTTATAAAATCCTGAAAATAGCTTCTGTCTTATTTTTGGTAGTATTTACCTGCGGACGGTTGTTTGCTGAAGCTTCTGGACAATCACTGAAAGGCAAGACAGAGTATGAAGTGGCCTCTCCATCCTTTCTGAGATCCAAAGGGCTTTTTGGTCTTACAGGTAAACCTACTGAAAATAATAGAAAATAATTATTAAAGAGCATTAGAGTGCCCCACCACCATGACATAGTTATTTACTTACCTTTATCAAAAATAAGTTTTGCTCGTCTACTGTTACGCTTTCGGTTTTTGAATTCTCTTTCAAAATTCCCAAGGCTTGTAGTATATTGGTCCCAGGATATATCTGGCAGCTGAACAACTCTCTGTGGATATGGAAGCCCTACGTCAACCTGAAAAAGTCAAAATTATGAAGAAAAGAGTTCACAAATACACACAAAGCACACTTTCAAATGATGCAATATGAAACTAATATGAGCCTGTTTTAAAGTAACCCATGTTTTACTGTATTTCCACATTTTAAAAGGAACTCGTCCACAGTAATACACAGGAAAGCATATAAAATATGTAGGGGAATGGGAAATGATGGCTTGTTGGAGATCATGTTTAAAACAGTGACAGTCATCTCCTCTTACTGTCTTTTGTTAGCTAAATAGAAAGCATGATCTCCCATCAAATTTTAGTCTGTGCGCAAATATAGCATATTAAGAGAGACAGGGAGGAGACCAGGAAATAGAAATTAAAGAACGTATACCACAGTTGGTCAAAAACATCTTCAGAATGTGTGTGGATATTTCCCCCTACAACTCACTCACTATATGCTCTTCCCTTAATAATTCAATTGTAATCAATGGCAGTATGTTCCACAAAAACATCTACAGACTGGCCTGAAACAGACACTTCTGCTTTCTCATGACTGCATCATACAGCTCAATTGCTAGTTCTCTTTGCTAGGACATCTAAACTTTCTCTGCAAAATCAGAAGTAAATTAACTGTCAATGACAAGCAGGAGGAGTTACAAAGCTGCAGGATACATTCAACTAGGGGTGGCAAATGACCCTAAAACAGCGTGATGGGACATTAGTGTGAGCATGCAACCTATTCCCCACCTGCAGACAGCTTTCAGTGTGAACCAAATCCTATGCATGAACACCTGGTCACATGGAGATGTTGTGTTTTTCTCTGCAGAAATTTTGCAATGAGAAGCCTTCTTCAAATGTTCAGTCTAAATATGTGAGGGCAAGGGGAGCAGGAAGAGACTAGGTGTCTGTACCAACCATTACCCCAAAATCCTGAACCATGTCAAGAGTGCCCATTCCCATCACACTCGTCCTCTTAGCCTTTAGCACAGAAGTCTGTAAGGGGCTTCCATTCAGGAACCTTACAATCGGGAACCCTGATAATATCGAGTTCCTGGTGCCTGTGTGCCCAGGCTGTAAGAGGGCTTCATAAGATCAGGAGTGAAGGGCTGAGTTTACACTGAAAGCTATCTGGAGAGGGCCATGGATGTGGGAGAGGGCATAAACTCCATTTTCTACCACAATGTTTCAGTGTCACCCCTGGGTGAATTGTAGCTGGGATGTTAAGGGGCCATTAAAAAACCCAACAACAAGAAGCATTGGCGCTGTCTATAGCATGAAAGGATATGGAGGCCACTGAACATGTCATTGATGGTTAAAGGAGGTGTGAAGTCAGGAGAAATGGCTGCCTCTGCCCCTCAGTTACGGAGAGTGGTGGCTTTTATAGACAGCTTAATTGAAACTGCCAAACAAATTGGGAGTTGGGCACAGTATGGAGAACCATTTCATACCTCGGCTACCTGAGTGCATGGGAGGCCCTGAATCAGAAGAACCAGCCCCAAGTGGAGAATTTGGGAAAAGACAAGTTAAGGGAAGAAGAATGGAAACTCTTGCCCTTACCTATTAGATCTGACAGGCCCTCAACCAACATTACAACCTCATTACAAAATCTTCACAAGCACAGTTTTGAACAATGTATTTGAGAAGGTAACAGACTCAAGAAGCTCTAATTGCCTGTGTCTTATAGAAAGACCATGTTTTCCCCTAATTCTACCATTTACACGCACTTGTCTGCAGGAGATGAATTATTCGTTATCAAACATCTCTCAGGGGTGCTTAAAAATTCCCACTGCAATACCTTCTTTTGGAGACTTTCCACAAATCCAATGGGATCTTTCAGCGCTTCTCTCTGGTGTCTGCCTAAACTCTCAAGATCTTGAACTGCTTGAGTGCGCTGAGCCTCGAGTACCGCAATCGTCTGTAACAGTCTCTGATAACTACAGAGACAAAGGGAAACAACTCACTACAGATTTCTATGCACAATAACCAAAGCAAAAGGAGGGGGGAAACCCTAAAACCTCAGCACCCAGCACACTTATCTGAAAGACTCAAACAAAGCATATTATGTTAAACAGGACTTCATATATTAAAAGTAATTTTTTAAGTGCACCAATAGAATGTGTGTCAGAAGTTCTTTTAATCTGAAATAGTGGTAGGATTGACTGCTTTATAGAAATATCAGCAAAAACACATAACGAGTATAAAAAACTGGATGCTGAGTAAGCCATAAAACAATGACTTTTTTCTTCTTGCTGCACAGTATGTTTATTTCTACCTGCCACTATAAATATAGTTCCAACATACTAGACTAGTATCACTCTGATACCTGGACAAAGGAAGTATCTAAGTATCTATCTATCTATCTATCTATCTATCTATCTATCTATTATAGTCAATGAGGTTAATCTGAGTTAATTTTCACCCACTCCCAAAAATATACCACAAAACCTTGCCTGGCAAAAGATTTTGGCATAGCTAGGGGGTGGGGGAGACTAAGTGAGCAGGCACTGGGCAGGCTGTGGACTGAGCCCCATCTGAAAGCGGTCCAAGGCCTACTGCAGGTCTCAGTCCACTGTTTGTGTTTCTTTTAATGATAAAGCAGCCTCAGGACAGAGCCAAGGCTCTGTTATACACATTTGCATGGATGGTATAGTTCACTTTTCAGTGATGCAATTCATGTTGATATCTTATTTATACTGAAAGCTATTATATCTTATTTCTTTTGCTTTGTCTTACCAAAGACATGCCTCAAGTTCCTTCCTATCTGCATCATTAATGGTTTATATCTTCAGTATTATTGTGAGTGTATGTGTTCACACCCACACAAATGCAGAGTTCTGACATGTGTCAGCCCGGACACTGAGGTCTAACTCCGAGGGACTTCTGGCGGTTCCCTCACTACGAGAAGTGAGGTTACAGGGAACCAGGCAGAGGGCCTTCTTGGTAGTGGCGCCCGCTGTGTGGAATGCCCTCCCATCAGATGTCAAGGAAATAAACAACTATCTGACTTTTAGAAGACATCTGAAGGCAGCCCTGTTTAGCAAAGTTTTAAATGTTTGATGTTTTATTGTGTTTTTAATATTTTGTTGGAAGCCACCCAGAGTGGCTGGGGAAACCCAGCCAGATGGGCAGGGTATAAATAAATTATTATTATTATTATTATTATTATTATTATTATTATTATTATTATTAATTCCTAAAGCATAAATGAGTTCTTGCTTACACTGCTGTCTCACAGAAAGAATAATTCTTTTGCGTTGACATCTTAGGAGTTCATACATGTTCACAGGATTTATTTATTTTTAGCAAAAGGAAAGCATTGTTTTTGCTTAGCAATACTATTAAGCACATTAATAAAAGCAGTACTTAACTGGCTTAATAGGCACAAATCCCAAGAGGATAAATGTTTTTCTAACAATATGTTAGACAACAAGCCTTGCAAATACACATTCACAGAGGGTAGCTACTTTTTATAGTTTATACAAACATATACAACTCCTGTGTGGGCGGGCCTGAATAATTATGACACTGAAGCAACAGGAAAAGAAACTTACATGTGCATAATTGTTCCTATATAATTGTCTAAGCATATGATAAAACAAACCCAACAAGGAATACATACCTAATGGTGCAAAATTGGAATATTTTCCCATTACTATTGAAAAAAAAATCAACATATTTACATCTTAGGCTGAATACTCAGGAATCTTAGTGTGTTCATTGTAGCTAGATAAACATGAAGTGCGTCCAGCTAGAAATGTTTTATACAACAATTTGATTTCCATCTCATGTGAGAAGAAATATGCTGACATTTGAATGGCTTTCCCAGACAAGTTACCGGACAAGTCTTTGCCAAGGGTAGTTAATTTAAATAACTGGATGAATTCCTAATATAGGATTTCACTTCCTTCCATAGCGAGAGCAGTCAACAGGAAAGGAAAAAGTGAATCACTAATGAGAGATCCTAAAGTTGTCGGAATGTAGGATATGCCTCATTATCACATTGGACACAGAGGAATGAGAAGAGGGGACTAAGAAAAGAACGCAAAAAATAGCCAGTTCTGGATTTCCATATAAGGTTCAATCCTTACAGAAACTACTGTCTGACAAAGTCTATATGGGAATTCATGCACAGCCTCTCTACATGCACATTGAATTAGTTACTCACTAATATTTGCAGAGGTTTTACACATAGGGATTCTGAAAGCAATCTGAGAAGTAATACCGTCTTCTATGATTGCTTGTTATGAGCAATACCACAGTTCTCAGGTCTAACAACCCATGAAATGAACTAGTAAAGATTTCATATATGTTTTGCATTTTTAAGTCTGCCTTCTAATTATCTGAAAGATCATATAGTCCTTTTTTTACAGTCAAAATTCCAACATAGTTTGCAGTAGAAGAATTAGTTTCTCAGCTGACTTAGTTCAATAAACTATTTTATGCGATTTATATTTAAGCTGCTGTGGGTTAAGCGGTCTATCATGCAACTTTATTTTTACAAAGCAATCCGTCAGTCCAAATAATTAAAATCTGTTTATAATTAGTCATTTTCATTATACTAATAATTTCAGATTGCCCCAAGGGCAGATAGAAAATGTATTTACTTCCTAGAGCCAAAGAAGACAGCTGAATCTACACAGAAGCACAAGGCTACATGAGCCAGGGGACTCCTGAACTATTTATTGCCACAGTGCTTCCTTTAAAATGTTCTTACACTGCTGCCTACTGTTTTGTGGGCCCAGGCACTGTGAGACAGAGGTGGAGTGCACAGACAAAAGAAAGGGAACAGGAAACACATGCTGGATTCAAATTAGGCCACAACTTTAATGATTATAGATGCAACTGGTTCAGCACAGGCATTGCGTGTGTTTTGCAAAGATCAACCAGCCTACCTGCTGGTTGATGAACCATTAAGGTTAACAAAAAATCAGAGGTCCCCCTGCAGTGGCTACCACATAGGGAGAACCCCTAAGTGATCCCCAATGTGGTGTGGCAGAAGAGGAAGATTGCAGAAAGGTGTGAAAGCATCTCTGTGAGCAGAGATTTTCCACAATCTTTCCCCTTCGTCTCCCATACCACATCTAACCCCATTCAGCAAAGGAATTGAGAAGCCTTTTCAGAAGACTGTCTGGGAGAGGATAGGGTGGAAAAGTCACTTTCCACCTCACCCACGGGTATATCTCTGGATCCACCCCAAATATACATTCACACAATCATATGGTAAGTATTGAAAGCTAGTAACCTCATTAGTATTCTAAATAAAATTCTTTTTTCATCCTAGGCAAGGTTTCCAATCTTACAACTGTAACACAATTAACTTTTTTGCCAACACAAAAGCTAACAAACTTAATCTCAAAACATCATTTTGAATACATATATATTATGCCATTCCACCACACATCTGCCACAGGTGGCTCACATAACGATTAAATACTAATGCAACTGAAACGAAGTTTAAAATACAAAATACTTAACTCATTACAACTGCCTTTTTTTCTTACGAGAATCAAAATCCTGGCAACACCAAAAAAGAACCATATATATGTAAGGACTGCTATTAAATTGCATGGACTCATAAAACTACTGCTATATTATCAGCAGCACAACAACTGAATTCTATGCTTCACTTTCTGATTCATATATTTATGTAGGGAATTATAACAACAGGACATTTAAATAAGTCTTTTTTCTGTATCATCATGATAACAGATGATAGATGAAAAACCCATAAAAAGAAAGCTAAACACTATCTCCAACAAGTAAATGCTTCAAAAAATTTCTTCATACTGACAGTATGAAGTTAATCTATCAATGGTAGAACTGAATGCCCATTTTTATAAATCTTTGCTTCTCTAGTCAAGAAAAATAAGATTCTCCTCATTCAACATTAACTAACAGAGTAAAGGAAAAAGGTAAAGTACCTCTGGACAGTTAAGTCCAGTCAAAGGCAATTATGGGGTGCCGCGCTCAGATAAGACTCTATACTGTTAAAATATTCATACTTCATAAATCAGAAGTTAGGGTATAACCTGTTTTGAAAATGCAACATATGAATGTCTATTTTTATTCTTATGATGAGACCAAGCGTATTATAAATTTAAAATAGAACAAACATAGCATCTTTTGTAATATACTAACAGGCTAATGTGACAGATTTAGTGTTTGTTCTGATAAAGCACAGAGGTGGCTCACTTAGAACATAAGAGTCATGAACTTCCTGCATAAGTTTATACAAGGCACGTCCTGTATCTCAAGGGAAATGTTTCATTATTTTTTAGTTGATTCTGCCATTTCAAGCAATTATTTTGTTTCCTGCTGTGGAATCACATTATTAATTGTGTATACACTAATTATTTATTTAACACACTTTAAAACCGAGACTGGAGAACAATAAGCAACGACAGCAAGGTAAAACAAAAAATACAATTTGTGGAGCATTTTAAGAGGATGATAAACCACTGGTACCAGGACAGACATAGTGTTCCTGATCCCTTTACCATGTTTGTGAGACTGAAAGCTCCCAGTAGGCTCATTCACTTTTCACACCATCTTCTTTCACACCAAAATCCCTTCCCTCATTCCCTTTTCAGATATGACTATAGTGCAATTTAAGGTTGCATTCATGGTAATAGCAACCATGGAGAGCTCAAAACAAAAGATAAAAGCATACACGTAATTAGAAGTGGGATGTTAGAATTAACACCAGTATAGATGTAATTCTGAAAAGAGAAGTGAGGGGAAGTTGCACACAAGTGGTAAAGGTATGTAGAAGCCTATGGGGTGTCAATAATTTCCTAACCGTAGTTAGAAAATCAGTAACATTCTGTCTGCAGTCGGTTTTCAAAATTTAGTAAATATATATATATCAGTTCCAGTATTTTCCAGACAATCATTACTGGTTATCAGAAAAATAACCCTGTTAAATGCATGTCTATTGAAGAAACATTGCAAATTGGGCTAGGCTGGGTTGGAAGCAGAGCTCAAGTCCCAAACCCTGGAATAATGCTCCACTCCAGCACCAGCACTTGTAAACAGGAACAAATGGAAAAGGTGTTTAAAAGTTATATGAGCTGCTGAAGAGCAGAGCTCAATTCCAGGTGTAGTGGTCTCTCTGAACTAAAAGAAATTTAGAGGATGATTCAGAATATAGAGAGCAGATATATAACCATCCAAACCAGGCTGTTGATCAAGGAAACATATTTTATGAGATATTTGCTATTCTAGTCTTTTAACAGTTTAGTCGGGAAAACTAAGTTGGACTTGCCTTTGGGAACTTTTAGTAGACAAGTGGAATAAGAATCAGTAATTATTAGTCACATGATAGATAACTTATTCCAAAGCTTTTTGCCTATGAGAAGATTGGCTTCATTAGGCCCAAACTGAGAATCCTGCCCTCCCAAATTATTTAGTTCTGTTATTGCATTTTGTTCATTTACTGATGAGAAACAAAGTACTCTGAACATGTTTAAAACCATTATCCTTTTTATTACTTCATGTGTTTCAAAGTGAATTCTGGCACACACAATTGGTTCTAAAGTTGGGGTTATTGGGAGGGAGAATCTTTGAAATAATTCCAAGAATGAAATGAAGTAACAAGTCCTCTTCAATTTGCTATTCTTTACACATACACACACACAAAGTTATTTTTACAAAAAAAAGGGGGGGGAAAGAAAGGATATTTTTTCCATCTAGAGGAAATAAAATCAGAAAAAAAGGATTTGGCCATAAAAAATACACACATTTTATTCTTTTTGCCTTCTACAGAGCAGCCAGAGCTGTTGTAACCAAAATATTCCAAAAAATATTTATGTATAAAAAATACTTCTATAGTGATTTCATTAAAAAATATCAAAGCAGTTTACAACAATTATATCTATACAATAAAAACCATATAAAAAAATAAAATCACAGATAATCAGCTATTACAAAAGCTATTAATGGTCTTCCTAAGCCTAGTGACATGGAAAAGTTTTCAGCAAATGTTTAAAGGCTAAAATAAAAGGTGCCTGCTGAGATGACTATGAGATATTAATCCATATGTACAGTATCTATGAAACATTCTAAAAAGCAGCAGCTACCATTTATCCAACCTTTCAAACAATTCAACAATATCCCATTTCTGGGCAAGGTACTAGAGTGTATACTGGCATCTCAGGCTCCAGTGGTTTCTGGATGAGATGGAACACCTAGATCAATTTCAATCTGGTTTTAGGCCTATTTATAGGACAGAGGCGGCTTTTGACATACTTCCCTTGTCCAATTCCCAGTGTATGTCCCAGTTGGTTCTGCTGGATGGGATTTGGAGACACTGTTCTAAATTGTCTGTTATAAACTGGTGTGCCATCAGTAATGGAACTTAATCCAGACAAGACAGAGGTACGCGTGATCAGTCGGAAGCCAGAACAGTGAATATGGATTCAGCCTGTACTGGATGGAGTAACACTGCCCTTGAAAACTCAGGTTCACAGTGTGGGTATGCTTCTGGATTCAGTCCTGAGCCTGGATGCCCAGGTGGCCAGAAGTGCATTTGCAGAGTTAAAGCTGGTGCACCCACTCCTGCAGATGTCTGATCTGGCCACAGTAAGACACACACCTTATTTACATTGTGTTTGGATTACTGTAGCACACTCTATGTGGGGCTGCCTTTGAAAAGTGCTCATAAACTCCAACTGGCCCAAAGAGCTGCAGCCAGGCGGTTAACAGGGGCCGGTTATAGGGAACATATGATTCCCTTGTTACAATAACTCCACTGACTACTTCCAGGCACTCGTCTGTTTTCGGACACAATTCAAAGTAGCTGGAGTAAGGGTTAGGTCAGCAATAAACCACCTGGTGTCAGTAAAGTTAGCTCTTTATTCAAATAAACCAAAACAGCACAGGCCTAGTGATCACAGCTACTCTGCCCAAGAGGCCTTGCCCCAATGAGGCAGTTGCAAGGACTAGAGGTCCTTCCCATTGCTCTCTAAGGCTCCTCACCTGGTTACTTCCCCTGCAGCCTAAGGCTTTGTCAGCTTGTCTCTCTTTGCTGTGCCCTCTTCCTTTCTCTGCATGTTCTGGGAGACTGGGGGGGAATAACTATTATCTTTTATATGTTTTTAGCTTACTACCGGTATATTTTTTTCTGTGTTGTTTTAATTTGTGTAAACCACCTTCAATCCCAGTCTGGGAGAAAAGTGGGATAAAAAAAATATATATCATCATCAACAAAAAAGGTATACCGGTAAACACGCAAATCCCTTGGTGACAGCACAATCATCAGATATACAAGTACCAGCTTCACCAAAGGCAATGCTTTTGGCTTGGAACAAATATTCAACTTTTATGTGTTGACTGAACATGTGCCAAACAAAAACTAAAGTTTTTTGTAAGGTGCAACACTGTTCTGTTAAAAAATAAACATAAATCCAACTTCACTTTGTCAACAACTGTTAACCACTAAAACATCTCTAGCACACAAACAAGGTTTGATATGGCCTTTCAGTCCACATCTGACTTCCAGCAGTTCATTTCCGTTTCAAAATTATGCATTCACTGAGAAAAGATCACAATGGGGAAACATCCATTTACAGAAAGCTGTAAATATGTTTCAAATTCTTATGAGGAAAAATAAACTGCAGCCAATTGTTGTTATTGCAGTTATTTCCACAAAATGTTAACAGGAAAAAACACTATTCTAATCCAATTGCTTTTATTCAAAGCACATTATCTAATTCCAGCAGTAAAAACATCCATTTTAAGTGATGTGACTCCAAAAGTAAATAATACAGTCACTGATCCCAGAGGTGAAAGACAATCATCTGCTACTTCTGCGTCACAATGTCCAAAGTTACAACTGAATGTACAAAACCATATTTATTGCTAGAAAATAATCATGTTTCTCTGTTCATCAGAAAATTAGCCTTTTAACTGGCCTTTAATACTTTAGCTATTCAGTACTGAGAATGCAACTAAATAAACAGTGACAAAATGTTTAACTCCAAGAATAGGAAGACATTCTTAACATACTCCAAATCTCAAAAGTACATATTAATTCAAAGTAACTTAATATTTCTTGTTGCATAAACAAGGTCTTGGGCTATTTACATATTTGACTACCCCATTATACAAGGGCTATCATTTAAGATCCAGAAGCTGAATTTCTCTCTCCCAGCCCACACCAACTGTCTAAACCACTACTGATCTAGACCACAAAGCCTACCACACTTTGCTACTTCATCAACTTTGCTACTTCATCAGCCTCCTATACCCAGCAAAGGCCAAATGTGGGCAGGGGGGCGGTTAAGAATAATTCACTGTTGGATGTTTAACTGTTGAGGATTCACGTGGAAAAGCACTATCTCTATACCTTGAAGGTTATATGCAGTTCACAAACCTTCCCAACCTCCACCTGTCAAAATGACAAGCATATATTTATACAGCTAATAATGTATTAAACCTAATTGATGAACCATATGATTTTATCACGAGAGGAATTCATATAAGAAGCCTGATCAGCAGAACTTCTGCTTGCACAAATGGGGACTTCCGCTTATGCAGTGGGGCTCCCCCACCCCTCTCTACACCCCACTGCATGCATCCCAAAATTGACTTGTGGAAGTCGTAGAACCCCAACAGCGCACAGGGAGAGGAGAGAAGGGATTGTTTCATCTGTGCAAACTGAAATTCACAATGCTGAATTCCATGCTGCAACATTACTAGATTTTACAGATGACAGTTTTAGAGTAAGTTTAGAAACTGCTACACAATAAGTTAGCAACGTAAACCAGGTTAATTAATTTGAAGCTTATATAAATTAATCTCTTTTGCAATACTATGTAACTGCCATAATAACTCACTGACAATTTATACACTCTGCTATGTACACTAATATCACTATTCTACAGACTACATTGTATTTAGCATACTAATAAAATGAAATTTTCACTCAAACGTTGCAATAAAACCTGAAATGTAAAATTCTAATTCTGAATTAGCTTTCAAAAACAAAAACAATGAAGTTTTACACTGAAATTCTATACATGTCTACTCAGCAATAAGACCCACTGAGTTCAATGGGGCTTGCTTCTAGATAGACAGATATAAGACTGCAGCCTTAAAGTCAACTTCCTGCTATATTCTCACACTAAAATAATACACTTAAATCATAGTTCTTGCAGAATTCAAGTGTCTTCTAAAGAAAACTATTATTTAAATGAAATTACACTAAGGCAGATGTAATAGTATTTGAAAAACTAGGGGCTTGAATAACAAACAAAAAGCAGAATCCATGGTTACCATAGTTACACATACTCTTTGTTGTGTTTCAATGCCACATGATCTGATTCAAAGAAATACACATCAGGCTCTTCCTCTTCCTCTTCTACAGCATGAAGATTGGCACTCTCTTTGGCAGATGGTAGGGATCCAGTAACAAGTCTAGCCTCTGGGGGTGGTGTACTTAGTCCTTCATCTATATATTCCCCGGAATCACAACTTCTCTCTTTCTCATTCAGAACAGTATCTGTGTTTACAGAAGACCCATTGATATTGGTAATACTTGATTCTACATTCGTTTCAGCGGCACTGTGATTGTTCTCCTCAAGCTGTCCATTTTCTCTACATGGAGAGTTATGTTTAGTAGGGCTACCTTTTGCTGTGCCCACCCTCCATGGTGATGTTCTCAGTGTGTATCTGTGTTCTTGAGGTTCTGACACAGATGCAATTTGAGTGGAAACACAGTCCAAAACAGAAACTGATGGTTCAGGTTCACCTGAGACTGATGTACTGTCATGACAATTGCCCAGGTTGCTGTTGGTTTTTTCAGACTGTTCTTTTGAGGCACTGCTATCACCCACCACGTCTACTTCCTCCTCAGAATCCCTTAATAAAGGTGACTGGATTTCAGAAGAGGACCCCGTACCCGTACCTGACTCATGTGCCTGATTAGTAGTTTCCTCAGGCAAACAGTTGTTTAATTGTTTGTGGTCCTCTAATGTTAACTGTTCTTGTGAATTTGTGCAAGGCACACTGTGGTCAACAAAACTGTCCTCTTTATTTCTGTTGAGAAAAAATGATGAGTGGGCCAATGAATTTCCATTTTCTGCAACATCTTTTTCCTTAGATGAACAGGAAACAACATTGTTTTGTGCAGTATTCCCATCAGGCTGACAGTTGTCACACTTTGCAGCATTTGGACCTCTCCCATCAACTCCATTGACAGTCTGACAACCTGCAAGTTCTTCGGATACTGAGAAACTGTTAATTTTTTCTGTACAAGAATTCACTTTTTTAACTTCCCTTTTATCACTATCGTCCAATATAAGACATCGACAAGCTCGTTTAGCTCCTGGAGTGACTGCAGCATTGTCTGGTACTGAACTCTTGCGTTCCAATCGTTCCTTCCCTGTTTTAGAGGACAACACTTCTTCTGAACTGTTTTGTCCCTCTGAACGCAGGCAGCGCTTAACTCGCTTTAAAACTGGTGAATGAGGTTCCCCTTGTTTCTTCTCACAATTGTCCACAATTTGTTTCTCAACACTATCCTTTTCTGAAGCTGATAGTCCCCTCTTTCGAGGGCTTACCCATGATTCCCTAGAACTTTGCTGTTTCACATCAGTGTTACTTCGTGCACTGTTATTTCCCTTTTGAGTCTGCAGAGATTCTGGCTTCTTCTTTGGTGATCTTGATCTTACTTGTGGAAGAGAAGAAACTTCCTCTGGATGAGCGATGCTACGATTTCTTAAAGTTCGGCCACAAAAATTTTCATCCAAACCATTTAACCCTACTGTTGATCTTGTGACACGAGTAGATCGAGAAGCAGCCATACTATGGCAAGTCCCTAAAGTATGTTCCTCATGATCCACTCATTCCGAAACCTTCAAAGAAAGGTAAATAAAACAATGAGAAAAAGCATTGTCTGTAGTAGAAAATATGCTAACATTTCAATTTTATGACTAAATAAGGATCTCTATTATGGTAGTTTCCTTGTGACAGCAGGGCAATCATCTAAATTTCTTAGCAGATGTTAACACTAACTGCTCAATATTGACACTACTATTTATATAACAGAGGGTCAGAAAAAGGTTTTAACACTAAAGCAGGTTTATAAAATGAAAATCATTTTCTTTCAGTTAAGCCAAACAGAAAAGTTACATAAGCCATTGTTTCTGGCATTAAATGAACAGGAAGGAATTCTAATGCATTTAAGAGAACATACAAAAAAGTTCTATTTAATTTCAACAGTATTTTTCAATTTATAATTCAAAAAAGGACTAAAAATCTACAACTCAAGCAGTGAATCATCTACTTCTACACTCATAACCCAAAAGGATATCCTACGACTAAAGAAGGAGTTGAAAATTTTGTTCAAAGGCATGTTGCAAACATGCTTATCATTTCTGCACTCACTTTAAGACGAAAGTCAATTACTGTACTCATCTCCCAAGACAATTTGTTCATTTCAAGCAAAACCACAGTGATGGCTTTCATCATTTGACTGTAGGAAAAAAACCAACCCATAAAAGTTGTCTACTCTTATGGCTCAGCACTAAGTCAACCAATGCACTCTGGTCTAAGTAAAGGAAATAAGCATATGGATATAAATTTATCTAATCAAAGACAGTCTGCTTGAATTCACTGCTAATGCTAAGCTTTTAAAAATGTACAGGAATATATTTCACAATGCTTCACTTTATTCACAACTAGAATCTCATCCACTAATGATAGGGTCTATCATCATCCCTAAAAGTTGCATCAGGTTTTACCTTTGGGGATAAAAATTCCCAGGCTTCAAGTATGTTGGAACTGGGCTACATGATTCCTGACAAAGACCTGGTGGGTCTTGAAACAGAACCTCAGTCATCTCTCCTATGCTGGGTCCTTATGTTAACTCAGTGGCATGTGACTCCCTGTGCCTACGAGTCCCATGCCACTGGTGTAATTTAAGAAGCCTAAGACCATGTGGGATATGCTATCACATCTCTTCCTTGTGCCAAGGTCAATCCTTGGAAACCTGAATTAATGCTTGTGTCAGAAGGAGCTGCTGACAAAAACAAATCAACAAGTCAACAGTGAATAAGTAGAAGATCATATATGCCTCTAATTCAAAACTTGTCTACTGAAACTAGAAATAAAGACTATGGAAAAATAAAGCAAATGGGGCTAAAAAAATTATGCACATTTACTCAGCAGTAAACCTCATTAAACTTAGTGGAACTTGCTTCAGGGTAATCCTGTACAAGACTGGACTGTTACTATTTTATACCACAGTTTCACTCTAAGTTAAAACTGATAGGTATCAAGATGTACTTAATTGATTGAGTCTCATGTACAATCAACTGCACTAAAAACCAAAGTTAATAGGTTAAATAATTTAGCAGGATAAGACGCAATCATAATCAAATGGAACATCAAGATTTTTTTTTATTAAAAAAAAAAACCTAGGAGAAACTAGGACCAGATTCTAAACTACACTGACTTCGATATCTTATGGAATAAGATGGTAGTCCCTGCTTCATTTTCAGAAGGTTTTATAAGCTAAATAATATAAATATATCAAGCAACAGAGAGGCTCCCTAAACCACTATTGACTTATAAATACTAGAATCATAAGAATTTTGGAATAATAGTGGAAGTAACTTATAAATTTAGGGAACATGGATCATGGATCTGTACACAGACATAAACAAAACCAAATTCTAATGTAAAATAAATTATACCCATTTCTAAATTGTAAAAATTGTCCAAGCTTTAAAGCCATTTCCTATTTTTTTCCATTAAAGAGATGGACTTCTGGGAAAACAAAAGTTGAGGCTCGTTATTTTGATCTATGTGATATAACTACTCTCATACCCTTTTTCAGGAGAAAAAACTGTGATAAATTATGTCCTTTTAGTGGGAACAAAGTAGGCCCTACAAAACAACAACAACACCTTGTATATGAATGCTAAGAAACAGCTAATGTAACTCCTTGCAAATGAAAGGAACATTTGTTTCAAATTATCCAGTTTAGTGAGGTGTTTTAAAGGAGTATTCTGCTCATCAATGTAAGCATGCTTCAAAAGCAAAATCTGAAATACTTAATACAAATATTTTATTTGGGAGGATGAAATGTTTGTTTTCCTATCTTCCAGAAAGCCATGATATCAAGGAAGCAAAGCCTAGATGAGATAATCCTAAATGTCTGGTGCACGAAGCATACTATATGGCAGGGATGGACAACAAATAGCCCTCCAAATGTTGCTGGACTATTAAATTAATTGGAACTGGTGAGAGTTCAACAGCATCTGGAGGGCTACAGGTCCCCATCCCTGCTACATGGAGTCTAACCACAGATGGGGAATATTCTTTGTCCCTAAAACTGGGAGTATACATTATTCATGAAAATTTAACAAGGGATTCTGAACTAAAGTTATTGGGTTTGGCAATAAGCAAATGCTATGATGTTTTGATCAAGAAAATAAATTGTTGTACACTTCAAATGGTCTATCCTTAGTAATCAAGCTGTAACTGAATTGGATTTCTGGATTTATCATGTCACACCTTTCCAACCTTTGCAGTCCCACAACGACTGATGCATTCCATGAAGAATGTAATGACACAGGGAAAACAAGCCTGGCCCAGCCACCTGCATGGTGTTGGCTTCTCTGCCAGAAGAACAGTTCGCTCCGCTTTATAATTGCCAGTTGTCCAGCAACTGCAGGGCTAAAGGGAAGTATAATCTACCCTGATCCATCATTCTAATGACAACTGGGATGTGTGTGCATTGGGGAGGGGTGACTATATACCATCACCACGTATACCATCAGCCAGCTTGAAGATCTTCATTGCAGAAGCCAGGGCACAAAGATTCAAATAAATCTCCAAATATGACATAATTCCCCATGATAGTTTTGGAAATGTGAAAAAGACTAATATGAAAATGAAGTTAAACCCCATCTAGCCCAGGGGTTGTCAACCTGGTCCCTACTGTCCACTAGCGGGTGTTTCGGGATTCTAGGTGGGTGGTAGGGGGTTCTACGGCACAAGCTGAATCCTCCTTCCATCAAGCACAGGTAAGGAAATTTTACCATCAAGAAAGATGAATTAGTGGGCGGTAGGTATAAAAAGGTTGACTACCCCTGATCTAGTCCAACCCTCTGCAATGAAGGAATATGCAGCTGTCCCATATGTGGCGTTATCAGCAACATGCACTAACCAACTCCAACATTACACAGCAAAGAGCATGTGACGGTTCTGCCCTTAGAACCAACTGCTTCCATCTTTTATTGGAATCCATTCTGTTTGAAAGATACCTGATAAATTTAAAGTTTTGGATTGCTTTCTGTCTATAAGGAACAATGCCCAAGTAGAGAAAGGATGTGGAATTTATAGGGAAGCTCTATGACAGAAAACTGGCACACATTAACCAAATTAGAATAAAAACTAGTTCTCATAATAAGTTATGACTATGCCATAATAATTCATATTCCACACAATTATATTTTATGAAGGGCTGGTTCAGATATGTTGAGATGTTAAATAACTATCTTCATGCAGGTGTTCTTGGTATAGCAAGCAGCAGCATGTGGATTCCTATGAATCCATAAGCAAGCAGTCACATGTAATTCCTATGACTGCTGAAAGTCTTTCTGAAGCTATCACAATCATGGCAATCATAGGTAACAAGGTACAGTACATACATATTTGCATTTCACAATGTAGAAAAGCACAAATCCCTAGACATCTGTGCAGAGGTAGGTGCTACACGTATATTTCCCTGAACAGATATAATTGTGTGCTTGATACAACAGTGCTCTCTCAATTACATAATCTTGTTAATACTATCTTCTGAATCAGCCATTCATTTTCAAAATACTATGTATCCAAAGTAGATGCATCTCAAGCATTTAATAACAGAGGGATGCAAAAAGACTTACCGTATTTTTCGCACCATAGGACGCAGTTTTTCCGTCTTAAAAACTAAGGGGAAATGTGTGTGCGTCCTATGGAGCGAATGCAGGCTCCCTGGCTTCAGCGATAGCAAGGCAAAGCCTCCGAAGCCTGCGCTCCGGAGGCTTCCCGTTGCTTCCGCTGAAGCCAGGAGAGTCTGCTCTTTGAGGCTGGCGGGGGAAAAGCAGCGCTTCCCCCATCGCCAGCCCCAGAGGATGGGGGGCAGCAGGAAGGCGCGCGACGCCTTCCCGCTACTCTCCAACCCTCCTGTGGGCTTTTGCGGGAGATGGGGGAATTCCCCAACCTCCCGCAAAAGCAGGCAAAAGCCGCACGCTCTTTAAAGAGGCTCCGTGGCTTCTGCTGGCTTTTCTAGGAGGTGGGGGAATTCCCCCATCTCCCGCAAAAGCCTGCAGGAGCCGCGCACCCTTTAAAGAGCGAGCGGCTCTTGGGGGCTTTTCCCCAAGGAGGGAGAAGGGACTGACTGGCTGAGTCAGTCCCTTCTCCCTCCTGCGGGCTTTTGCGGGAGATGGGAGAATTCCCCCACCTCCCGCAAAAGCAGGCAAAAGCCGTGCGCTCTTTAAAGGGGCTGCGCGGCTTTGCTGGTTTTCTAGGAGGTGGGGGGATTCCCCCACCTCGCAGAAAAGCCTGCAGGAGCCGCGCACCCTTTAAAGAGCGAGCGACTCTTGGGGGCTTTTCCCCAAGGAGGGAGAAGGGACTGACTGGCTGAGTCAGTCCCTTCTCCCTCCTGCGCGCTTTTGCGGGAGATGGGGGAATTCCCCCACCTCCCGCAAAAGCAGGCAAAAGCCGTGCGCTCTTTAAAGGGGCTGTGCGGCTTTGCTGGCTTTTCTAGGAGGTGGGGGAATTCCCCCATCTCCCGCAAAAGCCCGCAGGAGCCGCGCACCCTTTAAAGAGCGAGCGGCTCTTGGGGGCTTTTCCCCAAGGAGGGAGAAGGGACTGACTGGCTGAGTCAGTCCCTTCTCCCTCCTGCGCGCTTTTGCGGGAGATGGGGGAATTCCCCCACCTCCCGCAAAAGCAGGCAAAAGCCGTGCGCTCTTTAAAGGGGCTGTGCGGCTTTGCTGGCTTTTCTAGGAGGTGGGGGGATTCCCCCACCTCGCAGAAAAGCCTGCAAGAGCCGCACAGCCTTTAAAGAGCGCGCGGCTCTTGGGGGCTTTTCCCCAAGGAGGGAGAAGGGACTGACTGGCTGAGTCAGTCCCTTCTCCCTCCTGCGCGCTTTTGCGGGAGATGGGGGAATTCCCTCCCTCCTGCGGGCTTTTGCGGGCTCCCGCAAAAGCAGGCAAAAGCCGTGCGCTCTTTAAAGGGGCTGCACGGCTTTGCTGGCTTTTCTAGGAGGTGGGGGGATTCCCCCACCTCGCAGAAAAGCCTGCAAGAGCCGCGCAGCCTTTACAGAGCGCGCAGCTCTTGGGGGCTTTTCCCCAAGGAGGGAGAAGGGACTGACTGGCCGAGTCAGTCCCTTCTCCCTCCTGCGGGCTTTTGCGGGAGATGGGGGAATTCCGCCACCTCCCGCAAAAGCAGGGAGAAGGTCTTGGAGTAGCGCACAGGCTGCGTGCAGCCTGTCCACTGCTCCCAGAGCTGGGGGGAGGGAATCATATTTTTTCCTTGATTTCCCCCCCTGAAAACTAGGTGCGTCCTATGGTCCGGTGCGTCCAATCGTGCGAAAAATACGGTAGTTTTTAAATTAAATTATAGATAAAAATAAAATAGAAAGTGGTGTCAGAAGGGTTTTAAGTCACCAGCTCTGGAATATTATTTAAGCCAATTACATATGCTGCTACGGGTGTAAACTGAAAAACCTGTCTCGCGTGCAGAGCAACTATTTTCCTTGGACAAGTAGCTTCCGTAATAATCTTACATGCAGAGAATCATGCAGCCTATGTATGTGGTGCAATGGCTTATGCCATGGGTAGGCAAACTAAGGCCTGGGGGCCTGATGCGGCCTAATCACTTCAATCTGGTCTGCGGACGGGCTGGAAATCAACATGTTTTTACATGAGTAGAATGTGTGCTTTTATTTAAAATGCATCTCTGGGTTATTTGTGGGGCATAGGAATTCATTCATTTCTCCCCCCCCCCAAAAAAAAATATAGTCTGGACCCCCACAAGGTCTGAGGGACAGTGGAACAGCCCCCTGCTGAAAAAGTTTGCTGACCCCTGGCTTATGCAATGGTCTGCGCTTCTATATATAAAAAGGCATGAGCAGCTATTGTCTTGCACAAAAAAACATCTCTCTGGATCACAGCCTAGGTCTTCAATTAGTACCAGAGACAAAAAACAGGGTAGTGTGACATAATAATGCTAAGAAAGCAATACAAACCACATCCAACAGCTTCCATTTCCCAGGAGTACACTCTGCTCCGTATAACTAGTGCCACCTCCCAGAATTATAAAGCATAGCAGGCAGGCTACTACAGAAACTGGGTGTAGCTTATGTCTGCAGTTGTTACTTTGCAAAACTTCTCTACAGAATACTCAGTCTGTTCAATACATTTTTCATTGTACAGAAAAACACAAAATAATTTTAACAGCCACAAGTCTAACAATGCTGGCAACGTAACTCCTTTCTAAAAAGTGACTACTGTAATCTCATGCAAGAAATGCAGCCTTTCTTCTTAACATCCCATGCCTTTAAATACTAGAGTTAAACAGCAGGCAATACCGACTGAATTATGACCCAAACAACCCCATACATTGGGGATTTTCCTTGGGTTTTGTATAAAAAGAGATTCTATTTCCACTAAAAATGAAACAGAACAAAGATAAACAAGTTGTCACCTTAAGTAAATGATGGCACTATGTAGATTGGAGAAATATCTGGATTATATTACATTGCATTATAAATTATAGCAAACAAGTGAAACCTGAAACAAATTTTTCAGTGCATCCTTGTCTCCTAACAGGAATGATCCAGGCAGGGGTTCTTGCTAGGCAGGCATGACCTCCTCCGGGATTCTATAAGCTACAAAGAGCTCCTAACTCAGGGCATTCCTCTTCTCCACTAGTCCTGTGCGATATCTGGTTTTCAACATGTTGATATATCACTAGCTAAACATCATCATACAGTGGTACCTCGCAACTCGAATGGCTCCATTCTCAAACATTTCGGCTCCCAAACGCCGAAAACCTGGAAGTGCTCCGATTTTCAAATGTTATTCGAAACATGGAAGTCCGACGCAGCTTCCACTGTGCAAAAACAGAGCTGTTGGCAAATCGGAAGCTGCGCCTCGGAACTCGAACATTTCAGAAGTCGAACAGTCTTCTGGAACAGATTAGGTTTGAGTTCTGAGGTACCACTGTATACTGATATATCACAATGTCTGAAATAAGGATGGAAGTATGCAAAGGCGAACAGTGGAGCTGGGCAATATCTGGTTTTCAACATCGCAATGTATCACCATGTCTGAAATAAAGATTTTCTTGCATCGTAATTTTTGCATAGTGCAAAATATACCACAGATTTGTAGTATATTGCTGGGTCAAAAATTATGAAACTGATATAACGATATAGACTTCAAACCGGTTTTGAATGATATATTATATATCACCTAGCCCTATTCTCCACCATACACCCACACTCATTTTATTTTTCCAACTGGTACAGTGATACCTTGTTTTGAGTCCAGGATCAGTTCCAGAGCACCGGACGTTCCACAAAGCGCTGCTCTGGGCATACGCGCAGAGTGGTTTACACTTCTGCACGATTTAGCGCTTCTGCACATGCGTAAGCGGCAAACCCGGAAGTAACCCATTCCAGTACTTCTTGGTTTGCCGCAGATATTCACCAAAATGGATGGTCAACGGGCACATTCACGGAGGTATTACTGTACTCGATTTCCAATGGTTTCTGAGCATGGGGTTGGAGTTTTCTGCACCTTAGTTCTGCATGGTTCCCCTGAGCATGTCAATATTCTACTTGTTTTTCAGCGGACCCATGTTGCCTCTGTATCTATCAGCACTCACCACCTGAGTTTCAGAGGCATGTACAGTCATACCTCATGTTACGGACGCTTCAGGTTACGTCTTTTCAGGTTGCATCCCGCGGTGACCCGGAAGTACCAGAAAGGGTTACTTCCGGGTTTAGCCGCTTGTGCATGTGCACAAGCACTAAATTGCGCTTTGCGCATACACACAAGCCCCAAATCACACCGCGCACCTACGCAGATACGGCGCTTCAGGTTGCGAAGGGGCCTTCAGAACAGATCCCGTTCGCAACCAGAGGTACCACTGTAGAGTCACTGATTAACACAGTGATTTACAAAATACATGAGGAGTTTATTCATGTAAACTCCTGACACAGGGCAAGCAAATAGAGGCAGAGTTAAAGGTGGGAGGAACATGCATGTATTTCAATTACACATGCACCAATATATATACACAGACCCCTAACATGTTCCAAATAGTTTGGAGTACTGGAGAAGACAATAATCTATTCTATACTAATGGTTGACAATGGTAATTCAATATTATTATTTAACAATTTATACACTACTTTTCCACAAATGTACAAAAGGCAATTTACAGAAATCAAAATACCACAAAAGACAAAATGTCTAATTATAAAACATCATAATTAGAAATATTTAAAAGAGCAGGGATGTCCAACCAGTAGATTGCAATCTACCGGCAGATCCCTGGATCTTTATTGTGTACAAAAAGTTACGGGGGGAAAGCTAAAAAACTCTGCTGTGCAATCCTCCCCCCAAAAAGCTCAACAACTCTGGGAACTTCCCTCCTAAAAAAAGCTCAACAATCCACTCATCCCACACACACTCTTCCTCCCTCCAATGACAATGGGTAGATCACTGCCAGTTTTTTTTTATACTGGGAAAAGATCACAGTCTCTTGGGAGTTGGACATGCCTGTACTAGAGGATATATCACATCCCTGGGTGTCTGGTTTCAGACTTCAAAAGATTCATCCATAAATAGGAGAAGAAAGTGTTTCATAATACTAAATATTCATTCTTTTTTATATACATGCAGGTTTTACTACCTGAAGATAATGCATTCTCAGGAAATTGTTTGTTAGGTGTGCGTTCACATAATGAGCCAATTGATTCCTATGCAACAATTTCTAATGTGTACCCAACCACTGAATTTTGAGCCCAAAATGACAAGAAAACCTGGGAAAACCCAGGAAAACATTCTGAAACTTGCAAAATGCAAATAAGGAAGGAAAGAAATGCTCTCTTGTTTGTCTGACCAACAAAATGCAAAAAGTTAATCTTGTTTAAGACTGCTTACAGTCCTGCATGCAGGTCCGGCTGTTTGGATATCTGATTCTGCCATATGTACAGCAAGTTTTGGATACTAATTGCTTGTGTTTGGATAAGTGATTTTTTGTATAACATGCATTTGAATAGCAGGACCTGTGTGTATATGTAAGTTGAGAGGTGTATATATATCCTATCACAAAATGTTTGGTGTTTACATGGACTTCAGAGTAAATCTAACTGGTCATTAGAATAAATACAATAACATTTAAAAGATTTAATGATACAAGAAACCACAATAATTTTAAACAAATATATTTCATTTCCTACCATTGCAAAAATGAATAGAATATGAACTTCTCTTCTGAGCTTTGAGGAATTCCAGTGTAGCTCCACTAAGCTTAATAGTCACCATTGCTAATGTCCATGATGCATGCCAGACATCATTTTCAAGCAATTTACATTTCTTTTAACAAGGATACTGTAGGAAAGAGACAACAGAATTAAGAAAAAGTCAGTGTATTTACTGTCCATATGGCATGGCATATGACAACCTTCAAAGTATTCACTCTTTCCTGTTTGCAAACAATGTAGGTTAAAAAAAGAATATGGAGGGACGGCGACTTTTTTATGATGGTTCTACACTTACCTACAGGGCCAATTCCAAAATGTGGTCCCATGGGATTTCTGCTTTACCCCACGGCATATTTGCTGATCCCACAAGGTTTCATCTTATCCCCATGATGTTAAATACCTATTTGAATCTGCTAAGCGAAGTAGTTCAATGAGTTGGAGTGTATTGTCATCCATTTGGAAATGACACAAAGCTCCATTTGACATTCTCTTCAGAGCCTGGTGGGAATAGACCAGTGTCTGGATGCAGAAATAGAATGGGCGAGGGCAAACAAACTGAGATTCAATCCAGACAAAACTGGCACAGTTTGTAAGATGTTCCTCAGCTTGGATGAGTGGGATTCAACACTGCCTTAGAATGACCAAGGACCAAGGCTGAGGTTGCTACTAGAGCCATCATTTTCACTGAAGGCTCAAGTGGCACATGTGGCACAGAATGCCTTCTAACAGTTTAGGATGGTATTCATTAAGACATCCAATGCAGGTGGATAATCTAGTTGACATAATCCACTAGTTGAAAAGCAGTGCTCTATATTATCACAATCATGCTTTAATTGTTACAGCAATCAGTTAGCATGGATACTTGTTAAGTGTGTGGGGGTATGGGTATGGGTGTGTGTATGTGTGTGTGTGTGTGTGTGTGTGTGTATATATATATATACACACACACACACACACACACACACACACATTTTCCCCTAGAGTGAACTTGTTCAATTCACCAATTCACAGTATTTTTACCTCCCTATTACATTTATAATAGTCTTAAACTAACAAAAACCTCTCACTACAGGAGAAAAACATGGCATTTGGCTTCTCAGACTCTCACACAAACAGAAAAGCAATAACTTTAGCAATATCTTTAGCAAGGACACAAAAATTCCCTGCAATTCCTCTAATAAGTAGCCTCATTAGAGAGAGAAAGCCTCTCCCTATCATATGACCATTCCCAGAGACACTCTTGCCAAAGATACTATCATTTCCTAAGTGGTGTGAAATATACATAAATCACAGATTTGGTAGTTGAGGAGAAAGCATTATTTTTTCACATGTCCGTAAATGGATTGTTTTGATTCTGTTTTCCTTACAACCAATTAGCAAAGGTAGCCTCCATGCTACCTACAGTTAAAATAAATACAGTGGTGCCTCTAGTTATGAACTTAATTCATTCCGGAGGTCCGTTAAGACCTGAAACTGTTAATAAGGTTAAGACCTGAAACTGTTCTTAACTAGAGGTGTGCTTACGCTAATGAGGCCTCTTGCTGCTGCTGCTGCTGGCACACGATTTCAGTTCTCATCCTGGGGCAAAGTTCTCAACTTGAGGTAACTCTTCCAGGTTAGCGGAGTTTGTAACCTGAAGCGTTTGTAACTCGAGGTACCACTGTAAGTCACAGAACACTGCATTCCTTGGGGTTCCAATATATTCACCCCAATAACATGTAGAAGGCTTTCTCCTCTTTTCAGTATTCAGGATACCGGTAGTCAAAACCATGACTAACCAACGTCCTGCTTTTATCAGACATACCACAGGTAGCACAAACGCCACAAATGCACAGGGCTATGGCATAGAACTAAGCCAGCACCTAAGTACACAGTGCGCACTAGAACTGTGTACGTTTGGAAATAATAAGCTACAGTTCTTGAAAGTCATGTGATTTTTTTACCTCTCAATTCATTTAATATCCTTCATCAATATGCAGTATTCTAAGTAGAGTATAGATAAAGTAAGGTTTGCTTCATCACCTTCAAGAGCAAGAGACTACAATATTCTCCTGGAAGTAATGTGCAGAACAGTTGCTGGCAGAAACTTGGTAACTACATTTTTACACCAAGTCAGATGAGGAAATAAATTGTGAACTGTCAATGGATGGTTTTTTGGATCAGGAACCTAAGTGCAACACTTCTGTACCCACTGCTGGGCAAGACAGGTTTATGCAGAAGTAATGGTGGGTTGGGATTAGTCACATTCTGGCAATATGTAGCTGGTACTCCTCAGATTGCCTGGGGGATTTTTTCTAAAATATGCTCATCCTATGGAAGTTCTCTATTCCAAAAGATAGTTTTGTGTCATACATTCTAAATGTGAGAGAAGGAAGGGGGGAAATAAACAACATTATTATTTACCATGATAAACCAACATAAGAAATCAAACATCCAAATTCCACACACTTTAAAAGTAGAACTAGAGTTTAATTTTTCCAGCCTCTTTTTGCCAGAGATTGAATAGTAACTCATTTAATCTTACAAAACATCTAAGTATTTATTAGTTACATTTTCATGCCTTTGTGAGATTCAGTGGGCATTTATGATTTTTTTAAACTTATGTCAAAGTGTCACTATCAGCAATGTTATCATAATAAACTGGCTATTCTTTGTTTTGCTTTGCATTTCCCCAAATACAAATGTAAACATATATCAAATAGCCCTTAGCAACATTCCTCACAAATGCAATACAAATATAAAATAATGCCTTCCATAGGTCACATGAGGCACTCCTTCAATCAAGTATTAAGAAGCTGAATGAGGTGGTGTGGGGGACCGCCCTGTTTTGAAACTGTCACTCCACCTTGAAAGGACAGTTGCAAATAGCAAGTGACATCTCCTAATCCTCATATGAAGTAATAGGTGCTGGAAATGAATAGGAATCTTTACAGAGCCCAAAGTACCACTGCCATATGAGGGAGCTAGAGAAATTACCGTATTTCTCAGATGACTGCCTATTTTTAAAAGATAGTTGTAAAGGTGTATCTCACATCACATGAAGCCAAATGTTATCCATAAGCCTGTTAACTTCTATGATAGATTACTACAACAGGCTTTAAATGTACATGCTAATTGAGTCGCTTCAGGAACCACAACTAGATTCTTAAGAGATCATATCTCATCTGTATTGAAAGAATTCTACTAGTTCCTGGTATGCTTCAGAATTCAATTCAAAGTGTTGGTCTTAACTTTCAAAGTGACACCCAGGGGCACCATAGTACCCTTAGACACATAACACTGCACACACCAACACTAATATTTAAAAAAAAACACACAGAGAAAAAATAGTAAGCTGTTTGGATTTTCTGTTATTTTGTGAATGTTTTGCATACATTTTTTGGGGGGGTCTGCTTTATTTGTTTTAGGGCAGTGTAGGATTTTTGTCGGCTTATGGGAAAGTTATTTTTCTGTGAAATGGGTATTCTGTGGTGCCCATAACAATTTCTTAGATTTCCAAATAATAATCTAAACCCAAAAGAATATAAAATAATGCCACATTAAATTATGGGAAGTCATAGCCATTAGTAGTACTGTCTTCCATCTATTAAGGTAAGAATCAAAATGAGGAACAAGTCACCCAAACTGTTGGCTTGTTTCATAGATTGGGATATCCAATTGCTTGTTAGTCCTTTGAGCTTATCCAATATTAACACCAATCCGGATGTCAATATAGAGGAGTGACCTCTATTGATGCTGTAATCAGTTTGGCCACAATAAGTTCTCAACACAGCAATGAAACCCAATACAAGGGTGAGGAACTATAGTATTGGTTGCTGCCCTGTTTTCTGAACCTTGAAATAACTTTTATGTTGCATTGTAGCTTGTGAATTTATTTATTTTTATTATTTGAACACATACTGAGAAAGTTTCATGCCAAAAGTAAGAAAACAAGATAGGCTATAATAGTAGGAATGGCAACTTAAAAACATCTATATATATATTAGGTTACATGTATAACCAATATTGCTACACAATTGTGAAAGGCCACTCTAATAGGATATTACTATACGCTAGAAATGTTAAATTAAAATCATAGCCTGTGCAAAAAATAACCAGCTATTTCTGAATATATGGGCCATGTAAAATAAAATGCTTTCTATTAGGAGGTAACTGTGCATTAAATCTAGTTCTGAAAACATGATTAAATTATAGAAATGACATTAAAATATAAAATTTAAGCATGGGGGAATGATGGCTCACAATCTTACTAACTTCATGCAATGTTAAAAATGTGTAAAATAGATAAACATAGACAGTTGATAAAATAGAAGTCTGTCCAGGCATACTGCAAGAACCTCCTTGGTTATCCAAAGAGGACTCTGGGTAATATATACCAGCTGCTTAATTACACGCCTAACATGCACACTGTGCTATTTTAATGATAATTTTGTCATTAAGTTTTGCCTAGGAAATATTTTGTGCATTTTCCCAAAACAAACAAAAAATTATTGCACCATCCCTAGCACACTACACCTAGGTCTGGTTCACACATTATTATTATTTACTACATTTTGCCAAAAAGGAGACCAAGGCAGCTAGCTATGATCATAACACTAAGCCATGGTTTGTTTGATTGTTCAAACATAGCAGCTTAACTATCACTTGCTTAATGCTAGCAACCTTGATTTATTTTAATCAGCATTACATGTGAATCTGGCACCCTTCCTTAAACTTTTTTTTTTTTTGTAACCCCCATCCTAGATGCTAATGAAACATGAAGCAACAGCAGCTGGAAAACAAAACAAACTTGGGAGAAATAAGTTAGGACTGGTCTGATCACCTGTGAGACAATTCATAACTAACTCGTGGTCTGTTAAACAAACCATGGCTTTGTGTTATGTGAGAACAATATCATAGCAAGGGAACACATTGACATTTTATTGACATCTTTTAAGATACTTTAATATCAATCTTCTTAATATTAGCTGAGACTCTGGAGACCTATATATGTTTTCTGAAGGCTGAAATCCTAAGTACAGTTACTTGGGAGTAGCTCCCATTAAATACACAAGCTATAAAAAGTTGAGAGAACAATGCAATAGCCAAGGCCAAGAACTGCTGCAGCAACAAATAACTACTTAGGATAGAGTACAATACCGTAACTTGTTTATGAAAATTATACAATGAGAGCTACAAAGTGCTTTTCTACAGTACAAAGTGAAATAAAGAAAGCAAAAATATATTGTAGGAATTCAAGCCTAACCACCACCAATCCAAGCATTTTTCAGTGAACCTGGTTTAAGAAATATAGGAATTATTATATGCATTTGTATGTAACCTTCCATTGGCTCCTAAAGATACACTCTTCCACAGAAAAAGAATGAGAAAAGAGCAAATTGGACTGAAGTAGTAGGGGAATGAGATACTTAACACCATTTTCCGTCTCAAATTCCTTCCCCTATTCTGCAAGGTGCAAATGTGTGTTTGCAAAGAAAAAACACATCTAGGACAATATTGTGTTTGTGGGTCAAACTTAGATAGCATACCAACACTGTATGACACTTATTTAGAGAATTTGGCTAGCTTTTAGAACTCTAGCATTCTCAGCATTCCACTGTATCAGGCATCCCCAACCTTCGGCCCTCCAGATGTTTTGGCCTACAACTCCCATGATCCCTAGCTAACAGGACCAGTGGTCAGAGATGATGGGAATTGTAGTCCAAAACATCTGGAGGGCCGAAGGTTGGGGGTGCCTGCACTATATTTTAACAAGCAATTGCACTCGTTTCTTTCTTGTTCTTTCTTGTCACCAACTTTTTCAATAATTTGAACTATTTCTGTAAAATTTAACAAAACCAGAATTCATATAATTGCAGGCACAGTTGTCACCAACCAATTCATAATCTTAATTTGAGATCATCCATAAACAGCAGAAATAGAACTGCAGTTAAGGATACTTGCTAATAAAATTACTGTAAAAGGAAAGAAATCTACAAATTCAAAATGAACAAAAAAAATTGTGCTACTAAAATCCAGTCCTCAAAATACCTAATTTGCAACTAATATGCAACATGTGTGACAGTTAAAACACACTGCAAAGAGAAAATGCATTATTTTGAACTTCCCTCACAAACTTTATATAAAATTATTCTAGGCATATTTTGCTTGTCAGAGGTAAAATCCCAATCCCAGGAAACAAAGATCTCAAAAGTACAAGATCATACAAATGATCTTGTAACAGACTCACATTAAAACTTGTTAGGGGATGGAGCAAAAGAACAACTGTTTGGGGGGGTAGCGCTTAAAAATGGAAAGTGTAATACTGGTGGTCAACAAAAGAGGTTTTAGGACTCTCTCAAGGCAAATCTAAAAAAATGTAGTATAAACACAAACAACTTGGAAACACTGGCCTGCAAGAGTCCCAACAGGAGAACAGCCTTTACCAAAAGGTGTCATGGACTTTGAAGATGCTTGAACTCAGGAAGAAAGGGAGAAATGTGCTAAGAGGAAGTGGAAGGACATGTGGATCCAGAATTGACCTTCACAATCACTTACGAACTCACTGTTAAGACTGTGTTCATGGAAGGTAATCTTACTCGGCTACAAGGGATCGCCAAAGAGAAAAGGAGATTCAAACAATCCAGGACAAACCAGGTTGACTGTGCAAGTTTACAGAGGAATGCACAACCCTGCACAAGTGGTACCTAAGGCAAAGATTTGTAAATGTATTGCAGCATGTACTTTGCAGGCAAAAGCCCATTTCATCAAAGAAAATGGTGACTACAAGTAGAACCATGTGGCTCTGCAGATTTCCTAGACTCAATCAGGCTCAATCAGCATGGCCAGGGTGTTGTAACACAGTGGGTAATATCCTGCTCAGCAGTCAACAGCAAGTGGTGCAAAATATGCTTTCAGAAACTAACAATAATGTACTCTGCCAGCCTGCTTACCTTTGCTTTTTCTAGAATACCTTACGGGCTTAAAAAAAAAAGTTTGATAACCCAACTTGTGAGGCAGTGCAGCAGTGAACAGGATTGGCAAACAGGGCTCCAAATTAGGGCTGTTGCATGGTGTTTATTTTGCTGGGTCTAGTTTTCCTAAGGAACTTGCCTTGCAGGCCAAATTGTCTCCCAGAGCTGATCGCGTCAGTTACAAGTCCTTTAGCACATTAACACCCAATACTATAAGATACTCAACTAAGGCAAGTCGGAAGTAGCCATGTGGCCCTGACTAAGGTATTTTGAACCAAAGGTGGGCATTGGAGGTGGTCGAACTTTGCGGGAAGAGGTTCCATGGAACGGTTTTAAAGGGCTGAGGAGCCAAGTGGGCTGACCGAAGGATTATCAACAAAAAGATGACATGGGGGCGCCCTCAAGACTATGTGGGAACCTGTGGTGAGAACCTGAGGCGCGGTGAGGGGGGGGGCGCCACGGAGCGGCAGTTTTGACTGTGGGGAAAGCGCAGGGGGGAGGGGAGGAGCCCGACGCGCACAAAACTCTCGCAGGTCTAACTCCCCGTGACGTTCAGCCCCGCCCCCACGCGCGTCGTCGGACTTAAAGAGGCCGGGCCTAAAGGAGCTCACGGCGCGCCGCCCCCTCCCTCTCTCTCCCCCTCCCACCCACCTCGCTTCCCGGTTGCCCGTTACCATTATTACCCATCACTCTCAGCGCAGCGCCGCCATCCTGCCTCCGGCCAGCTCCCACGGGAACTAGGGCTGACCTCGCGAGAACTCCCACCTCAACGCGTGCGCACACCCCTCCCCCTGCCTCCTGCGAGCCCCAACATGGCGGAAGCGTCGCGCACGTGTCCGCGTGTCCCAGATATACTGTATATACACAACAGCGCCCGCAGTACGCCGTGCGCGCTCCCCCGCGCACGTGGAAAATGGGAGGGCGGACGGACAGAGAGGAGGGAGAGCAAAATGGTCAATGGCTGAGGGAAAGGAGCGGTTACGTCGCCGCGCACGCGCACGACGCACCTTTCGGTTCAGCAGCTGGGATTCGAACGAGGCGCGCGAGCCTCCTCTCCCCCCTCCCGCTCCCGCACGCGCAGGTCACATGGGGATATAATACCTCCCCCTCCTCCTCTTGTTCGCGCTCTCTCCCTCTCCGCGCTCCTTCCCCCGGCCCCCTCCCCTCACCCGCTGCACCATCCGGGTCTCTCCGCCTCACCAGTTTCACACCCCCCCCCGCGCGCGCTCGCCCCGAGGGAGGCGGCCTGACCTGGTTGCTGAGAGACGCGAAACTCAGCCCGGTGGGACCGAAGCAGCGGCTTCTTGTTCACTTCGGCCTCTCTCAGCGGCAGCCGCATCAGACGTCAGCGCTCGCTCGCTCATCCGCCCCCCCCCACTCTACCCAACGGCCGCTTGACTCCCTTCAGCGCCGCGCGGCGGCGGCTCCGCTTCCGCTTCCTTCCCTGTCTCCCTCCCTCCCCGCCTCCCTCCCCCCCAGCCCCATTCCCTGCGCAGCCCGCGAGTGGGGGCCGCTCCCTGCAGCTCCGCCTGCTGGTAAACGCAGGGAGGCGACGGAGGCGGGAAAGAGACTCGGGACGGAGCCGCCCTGGAGCTGGTGGGTAGAGCAGTTGGGGCTCTTCGTATCTCTTGCCAGTGGCCTGTTTTCAGTATTAGCAACCCCCAAAAAATCTGGAAGCACCCCAAAATGACAGATTATTGAGGCGAGAATCCTCCCACTGCGCCGCAGTTTTGTGTCCACCAAAAGTTTCTCTTGGGGGGCTTCCTGCCATCAGGTGGGGGGATGGGATGGGGAGTTGACGAAAATGGGGCAGAGGCGTCTCCTGTTGACATAGGAGCCGAAATATGATAGGCATTGCCATTCAAATAGGGTGCGCTCCACCCCAATATTTTATTCAAGTTGGTACCCCTGCCCTTGAGCCACTTCCAGTTGGGCTTCGTTGAACCCGAAGTCTCTGTTGCCACAAGGAAATATCTTGTTGCTCATTCAGGCAGGCACAACTGGAAATCACCCGTTGATTTGAGAGAAATGCCTGTTTTGGATAGCTCCGTAATAACAGGGAAAGTTGCCACAATGGTGATGGGATGATGCTCACCGCATTATTTCAAAGTTAGATATTAACTAGTTTGTCCTGATTAACCGGCTCTTATCGGTTGGGGGGGAGTGCACTCTGCAGCATAAGATTATGAAAGTCCGGGTTTAAAGTACTGTACTCCGTGTCTGCAAGTTGGGGGGGGGAGTTTTGCCCCCAGAGGAAATATTGCCACATGGTATAGAATCATAGAACTGTAGAGCTGGAAGGGAGCACAAGGGTCATTAATTAATATTATTAATAATTATTATTATTCTAGTATTTATACCCCATCCATCTGGCTGGGTTTCCCCAGCCACTCTTGGTGGCTTACAGCATACCATATTTTCTTGTATGACAAGGTTTTGACTCAAAATCACGTCAAAAAACTGGGGCCGTCCAGTACATGGATAGTGGCATGGGGTGGGAGAAGTGGGGCGCCACCAGCCATCCGGTTGGCAGGAGTATGGCTTCCCCCAATGCCACAGCAGGTGGGGAATGATCTCAGGGTTGTTTCCTGCCTGCAGCTGCATGGGAGGGAGAAGCTGCGTGCCACCAGCCAGCTTGTTGGCGGGAGTGCAACTTCCCTGGAAGCCGCTGCGCAGGGGGTGCTCCCTGGGTCATTTCCCACATGTGGCGGCATCGGGGGAGGTTGCACTCCTACCCACCAGATGGCTGGCAGGAGCACAAATTCCCCTAATGCTGCCACGCGCGGGAAACAATCTAGGGAGTGTTTCTTTCCCGCAGCTGCCTGGGAGGAGAGGCTTAACAACTTTGGGCCATCTCCCCTCATTTTCTTAAAATTGAGTCCCCAAAAATACCATATTTTTTGCTCTATAAGACTCACTTTTCCCCTCCTAAAAAGTAAGGGGAAATGTGTGTGCGTCTTATGGAGCGAATGCAGGCTGCGCAGCTATCTCAGAAGCCAGAACAGCAAGAGGGATTGCTGCTTTCACTGCGCAGCAATCCCTTTTGCTGTTCTGGCTTCTGAGATTCAGAATATTTTTTTTCTTGTTTTCCTCCTCCAAAAACTAGGTGCGTCTTGTGGTCTGGTGCGTCTTATAGAGCGAAAAATACGGTATACATGGGGGTGTCCAATATATGGAAAAATACAGTATATAAAACAGTAAAATATCAAACATTAAAAACTTCCCAATACATGTTATCCAATCCCTTGCATTGCAGGAATCTTTTGCCCAATGTGGGGCTTGAACCCACAACCTCAAGAGTTTCATGCTCCGTTGACTAAGCTATTGCCAGTCAATGGTGGTGTACAGCAGGGGTCACCAGGCTCTCTAGACCAGTGGCACGTTTTGAGTATTGAGGGAGTGTAGGGAATACCTGTCACAAAATACTACTATGGTGAAGCTTTTCCCAAAACATACTGTAAAAGTTTAAGCTGTTGAACTGTCTGCCAAGCACCTCAGGTGTGTACCTAATTTGTTCCACCATAAAATTAGTAGGCCTCACTGTTAAGTTATACATCATCACTCCCAAAGTAGCATTATTGATCCGATCAGCCTGAAAGTGAGGCAGGACTTCTAACCTGGAACCATACACATGCACCTTTTGCATGGGTTGCTACCATTTCAGCTACTTTTCACTGTTCAGATAGATCTAGCTATGCATCCTGTTGTAGTAGGATACCCTCTTCCAATAATTTTTCCCCATACGGTACAAATTAAAATTAAACATCTGTTTTTCAGGATGTTAATATAACATTTCCAGAAAAACAACAATTGAATTTTACAGTTAATTCAGTTGTTAAATACAGACCTATCAACAAAAAGGGTGTCAATGCAACTCTAGTGCTGTTCCGCTGTTGCTTTCCTCACTTATGAAGTTTTCTGGTTTTAATTAGAACAGATGGTCACTGAGAGTAGAACTAGACATACTGGGCAGTATCCAGCTAAATAGCTCCACTACTGCAAGAACTTTGCTGTTTGATAAAACTTCCCCACCTCTTCTCTATGACCCCCTGACTGTTCATTAAATATCTGCTGGGGGTGTGTCTGTCTCCCAACCCTCCAGAGCAGATTTAGGGGTTGTGCAGGAGAGGAGAGAAGGCAGGGAAGTTCCATTATACTGTACAGCTAAAAGTTCTGCCGCTAGCAGTGGTTTTATTGGATAGCGTCTACTTCAAATAGCTCATGATTAAAAAATAAACAGTGACTCTGTGACACTTGTTTGGCTGCTGCTTTTGTAGGGAAAAACCTCACACTACAATAATACTATATCACTTTAATTTATTTAATATAGATTAGATATTACTGGGCAATCGAAAGCAAGGCATTACATGTGTTGGGACATTTAGTGAGAACATGCATCTACACTTTGCATCAATCTGTTTACTCTCTTCAGATTGCCTCTTTACTAAGGAACTTCATTGTTTGTATTTATTTGTCTGAAAAGCAGCTATTAAAGTGGCCTTTAGAATGGCAGAAGTGTGGTACTGTGTGACCCATACAGCTCTCCCCACCATCACCAAATATACTGCTACATAAATGAAAAACCTAGCATTTGCTGTTTGGATGCTGATGAAAGCTTGTGTCATTAAACTATTTAATAGAAGCTTTGATGCTTACAATCAACCATTCTGACATCATTTTAGTCTCTTGTATTTGGTCTGTGTTCTCCTTCAGTAGTAACATCTACCTAAACCGATTCTACATTAAAGTCAATAAAAAGTATGCATTACAACTTTTTCTTAGTTCACTAAATACAAAATTAACTCTGATACACTGTCAAAAATCAAAGGATACTTTTAAACAATAGATCAAAGTTTCAATTCAAATTTTGAATCATAGTCACTGTTTAACCCACAGAATGAAACAGCAATTAGAATTTTTAGCAAGCATTAAAGAGTAGGCTTGGTAACAGGATTTGATAAAAAATCTTGTGCCTGTTTTTGTAGATACTTGGCCCTGGCTAGGATGGAGACACACAAGTAAAAACATCAGTTTGTGCAATATTTCAGTTTGTTTGATCTACCATTTGAAAGTCAGGAGGAGAAAGGAGAGGGATGTGTCGCTATGGCAACAAGGACATCTGGATTTGAAATACCATATTATACAGAAATGCACCCAGAATAGGTAAAATAGGTTAAGGTAGAATAGGTTAAGCCAAATAAGGAATTAATTTTCCTGAGAAATTAAATCTTCACACATTGTATGATGCACAGATAACCCAATAATCCTAAATCTCCTTTTTTTGGTCATATTTAAAAATAGCAAGCACTTCTCACTTTTCATTTTATCAAGCCTAAAATATTTATGAAGCCATATATTTAAGCAAATGCTTCTGGCTTCACGAATTACAGCCAAAGCATTTGGGTACATACACAAATTACTATCTACATTAGATAAGGCAACTATGTTTTGCAAATAGTCATAGTATTTGCAACTGGCAAAGGCTATTCCTACATTTTTTCTATAACAATAAAGGCTAACATATGTTCTGTGGACCAGAACCATTGTTTTTAAGTAAAACGTGAGTGGTGCTTATGAATGTGTACTAACTTTGACACAAAAAAATCTTGGGGGATCTGAAGAGAAGGGTATGAAGTTTCCAAGTGCAACAAGAGAACCTCTTGATAAAAAACATGTCCTAACTTTACACCGTGATGACCAAGAAGCTAGAATTAAGATGAGATTATGATACAAATAAAGATAAATGGGAAAGTAAAGAGTCTTGTTTCTCAAAGTTTGGGTTCTCCAGAGGCAGGAAAATGATTTAGTCTACCCACAGTATTTTCCAAACAAAGTAGATGATACACATGCTCCTATATGGAGAAATATAAAGCAGAACACGGGCAACCTTCCACAACTGCCAGAAAGTCTCAAGAATCCCCACACAGAATCTCTATTAATATGCAGAATGGCATGCAAATTTTAATGTTCAACAGTTCAGTTCTAAACACGTTTATTTGCAGGCTCCATCCGATAGCCTTGTTATCTGACTCAGAAACTTACTTGTATATACACATTTTAAAAAGTAGTCTGCCACCTCCTCTCAGAAGACAGAACTTGTGGTTTTTTTATTTAAAAAAATGTCATTTGATCCCAAGGTAGAACTCAAGATCAACGGAGAAGAGTATATCCCTACTTCCTTTGTGTGTCCTTGCTTATTTAGTTACCTTACAAGAGGAATGTGGAATCTGGCCCTCCAGATACTGTGGAACCACCCAACTCCAATCAGCTGCAGACCTTATACTTATAGCCAGTGATCAGGAATACGATGGTTAGGTTGGCCTCCACCAAGGTCACAGGCTCAGGGGGTACAAAAAGCACACCTCTGCACTCTGGCTCAGAGTGGCTAGGAGGACACCAATACAGCTGCTTGCCAAGGGCACAAGGGAGCCT